ACTTACAAAATGGGAAGACAACCAAATTTAGTAAGCATTATTAGTTTTGGTTCATTTCTTGTTAGTTTAATGTTTTGATTGTCATATGATCTTTGCTATTATGTGTAAAATTCTACTTTATATATGATAATTTGTAGTTGTCAAAAGTATTGAACCAAAACGAATAATGGTATCTTACTAAAGGATTTTTTTCCAAATATACTTTATATTTTTAAATAAGTGAATTCAAAAAAAATATTTGATAAAATTAGTACTATTACACAATTAAAAATAACAAAACCAAAGAGAAACATTTTTATGGAATCATATACATAAATGTAAGCAATTTTGATAAGCTGTAACAATTCAAAACAAAAACTAATTTTGTATGAACTATTATTTAAGACAAGACTATTTTTAAATGGTTAACGGAAAAAAAAAAAAAAAAAAAACACTTAAAGAAGGGAGACATGAAAAAAAATTAGACAAACATGAAATATTTGCATTTATAATGGTATCTTTCTTTTTTTCTTTTTTTTGATAGGAGATCCCATCTCATTTAAGAGATGTTTGCATACATCATCAATATTGCATGATTTCTTCTATTTTCTCTCTCTGACTAAGTAATGATTCGTTTTTAATTTGGATAGGCTTGGTTCCACTAAACTAATTACCAAAAACAGTACCCTTTTTTCATTTTTTCTTTCTTATAAAGAACATATTCGAAACCTCTAAAGTGACAAAGGTACAAGTTAAGCAATAAATTTATTGCTCTTTTTTCTTTGTTAGTAACGAGTCAAAATGGTAGAGTCTTTTATTTCGTATGTATTGTAACTGATATCTCTCAGCTGCTCCTTTATCCCATTCTCCTGATCTTTTCACTCCAACCTCAAATTACAACTGAAAAAAAGAAAAGAAAAACAACAAAAAGTATTGTACCCTAATCTGATCGACAAGAAGCCTACAGTCACAATTATTATCTCTACGATTACACCAACACACTCAACCATCAGTTGGCCTAATTAGGCTTGTGAAGATGGTATAGAGGATCATACTTAGACCGTCATTTGAACATTTCAGGTTTCTTTCATGCCCATACGCACACGAAGTGGGATTTATTATACGGATTTTCATTACTTTTTACTTTATATGCCTCTATGTCGTACACAGGAACTTCAAAACCCAAAAAGAGAGAAATTATTAGAAGGGAGAAAGGTATCAGAAAAAGAATCACTAGGATCATAATAGAGTAAAACAAGAAAATCTCTAAAGCCCAGCAAGGATCAATATCTGTGTGCTTCTAAGCAACAAAAAAACTCAATATTTATTATTTTATTATAATATTTACTTAATTTGCGTAGATTTTCTAAGGTTCAGTCAATTTAGTTTGATTAGAAAAGTTAATTTATTAGAAAATTACTACTCTAGGATTCTATTTTATTTGGTATTACTAGGAATTTTAGTATTTCAATTTAAAGGGTTGTAATAGCCTTATTGCAAAAATAATCGACATTGAATAATAAAATTTAAGGTACTTTTGGGTATTTTCTGGTAGCTATAGTTGTATTTTTTGTTTTGAAGATTTTTGAGAATTAATAAATCTCGTTATCTCACTATCTACCAAGCCCCAACATTTGAACTTAAAACTTACACAGATCCACATTACTTTATACTTAATACTTTAGAAATTGAGAGTGGTGAAACTTGAACTCAAGACCTCTTGGTCAACCAAGTTCCGATACCATATTAAAGGATCATTTCACCAAAAAGCTTTAAGCCATTAGAGGAGATCCTAGAATATAATTAATGTTACTCTCTAAAATCCTAACAGCTTAAGCTTTTAAATGAGATGATCATTTAATATGATATCGGAGCTTGGTTAATCAACTGGTCATGAGTTCAAGCCTCACCACCCTCACTTTCCCCACTTTCTTAATTATTAAACACGGGGTAATGTGAACCTGTGTAAGTTTCAAGCTCTAATGTTGAGACTTTCACTTAAGGGGGTGCGTTAGAAAGTAAGATAACTTATATTATGAGACCTCACCTAATAGCTTAAGCTTTTGGATGATATGATCCTTTAATAGATTCAATAGGAGTTTCTTAGAGCTTCGTAAAAAACCTAATGCTTTGATGGTAAGCACAAACAATTTCAAAATGACAATAGGGACGTGCCTAGAGATGTACCTAGTGACTAACCCAACATCATATCTATTCATACAAACTCATATAGGCATCATGTCTATATAAAGAGTGATGTATACAAAATATGATGTCCTGAAAACTTAACCCACAAGCGATAATAGACGTTTTTCTAAATTTCATGAAATTCCTCTATTTGATAGGGATTTTTCCTTGAAATATTTTGCATGGTAGTTGTCAAATGTTGAGGTCCACTTTAGATTTAAAGAGACATTTATACTATCTCGCTTATTTATGCTGAACTAAATTGGTGATTCTAGATTTAATCTGATCCAGTTCGATAAAACAACAAAAAAATTCATTCATGGTCTAGAATGAAAAAAATATTAATTTTGAAATTTTATGTAAAGTATTCTGAAGAAATTTTTTATTGTGTGGAAGAGGAGAATAAATTTATATGAAGAACCCTATGTCGAAATAACTTTGTAATCTATTACCACTAGATATTGCATGTGTCAAGCATAGAAATATCGAGTTGAAGAAACCAAGTATTGCTAATATTCCATCATGTGATGAGGTTTTTGTTGAAAAAGGTTTTGAAGTGGCTTAAGAGAAGATTCATGACTAAATTGGTAAAATAGACGACCAAATTATTATTAAAATAGAATATACAGAGAAATTTTAAAATATTTTAAGTGTAATTTACAATAGTTACTCTATAGATTTATTTTAACGAGAGAGATGGACCAAAAAACAAAAAAACAAAGAAAAAATCTTATCCGATCTACCAACAGTGATAAAAATAGTTTCATCTAGTCTTAGATTTTTTCTTTTTTTAATTCTCTCCATTATTTTTCTCTACTCTTTGTGTCCACCTCTCTCTATAGAGTAAATATTATTAGTTAACTCCTATATATAGTAAGATAAATTTTCTTAAATATATGCCCGGTCAAAATAATGGCTTGGTTAGTATTGGCTTCCAAAAAATTCTGAATTAGGAATTCACATTGAAATTTCTAAAATTAAAGGCATCAACGTTCATAGTAAAGGTACAGAGTACTTGCTAAGAAATTGGAGGCACCATTATATTCAAAATATTTATTTCTACAGTATGGAAGAGTTTAATATCTGACAATAAAATTGAAGACAAGTTATCCTTAAGAGAGGAAGTCTAACGTGGTATACAAAACTCAATATTCTTTTGTTTTATTATTTTATTGCAATATTTATTTAATTGCTTAGATTTTCTAAGGCTTAGCCAAATTTATTTTGATTAGAGAAGTTAGTTTTATTAGGAAACTAGTGCTCTAGAATTCTAATTATTATTATTATTTTTTTTTATTTGGTTGGTTAGGATTTGTTAGTTTTCCTATTTAAAGGATTGTAATAGCCTTATGGTAAAGATATACAGAATTTGAATAATAAATTTTTGAAGTACTTTTGGGTGTTATGATTGTGTTCTTTGGTTTGAGAGTTTTTAAAAATTAATAAAGCCTGTTTTCTCCATATCCGCAGCATCATTCTATATGTATACGTTTGTGCCTGAGAGAGAGGCACACACACTAACTGAGATCATGCGCGGAACCCTAAGGTGCAAGAACCATACCCGCATGGTACAAGAAAATGGAAAAAAAATAAAATCAAAATGCAGGAAATCAAAAGTTTCCAAGTAAAGAGCAGGTTGGTTTGATCAAATCAAAAGAGTTAAAAACATGTATTAAATCTATAAATATATATGCATAAACCATGGAACGAAAGATGGAAAGTAGTGCAAAAGATGATACCTTGAGCTTGCAAATTCATAGAGCTTCCCTCTAGGAGAGAAGACAATAAGAGCAACCTCAGCATCACAGAGAACTGATAATTCAAAAGCCTTCTTCAGCAGCCCATTTCTCCGCTTAGAGAAGGTGACTTGCCTGCTTGTGGCGTTCTCTATGCGCCTCATCTGAGTCTTTCCTCTCACCATCTCTCAAAACCTTCACAACCAGGTGAAGATCAATACATATCATTGAAAAGTACTCAGCTTAATTGACAGATTTTGTTCAATTCAACGCTAAAAAAAGGGTGTGTGAAGCAAGGAGGATCTGATTCAAAGAGAGAACAAGAAAATTAAGCTTACCGAAGAGACTACACCCAGCAAACAGGGTTTCCACTTTCAAGGTAAGAAAGAGGAGGAAATAAAAAAAAATCTAAACTTTGGAAGCAAATTAAGACCAGACACCCCGTTGAAGAAGCAACTGTTTTGATGGATTGATTTATGGATTTAAGAGAGCAAATGCTAACCAGGGGAAGTAATTAATTAAAAAATGGTGTAAATCAAATACGTCAAAGGAACAGACAAGACCTTAGTGAAAATGAGAGAAACTTACCAAATAGGCAAAAACCCACGAGCGTTTTAATCATGAACAAGAGGATAAAAGCCAGAAAAGGAAGCAGCTAAGGAAATCTGAGGATAAAAAGCAATACCCAAAAACAGCCAATAAGATTTTTACTGTGAGAAATGAGGTGGCTGATTTGTTAAAAGAACATGTAAAGGCATGCTCTTCAATTCATATAGCACAGGTAAGGTGAAAAAAGGGAGTCAAGAGGGGAGATTTGGAAATCTCACCAAATTGGCAATAAACCAGAGGGCGTGTACTAGAGGAGAAATTGGAAAGGAATAAAGATGAACAAAAAAGGAACAAAACTTAATAAAAAGTAAAACTCTGAGGTCTGTGGGTAGTGACCAAACCAGAAGGATATTTGTCCAGCTAAAGCCAAGACGTTGATACTACTAATTTTTTTTAGCGTCTTTTGTTGTGATTGATTGATACTCACGTTCCCTTTTTTAAGTCACAACCAAAGCCAGTAAAAACCTCACTCAAAACAACCATCTTTCCTTATTCATCGATGCTTTCTCTTTTGTCAAGTTCGTCAAAACCCACCTATAAAGAGTAACAAATTTTATACATTTATCACTATAACCATATAAAAAGAAAATACCGTAAACTATTTAACTCCGTCATATTGTAAGACCCCATCTTTTGCTCGTTTTGGTAAAATCCATTACCAACACCAAGAAGAGAAAAATAAAATAAATAATTTAAAAAAAAAATTGATGGTAGGGGTGGTTGTAGGAAAAAGTCCAGGAAAGATAAGAATATAAAAGGAAAAACTTTAATCTTTTTTTTGGTATGTTTTTTTCTATTCGATGAAACAGAAATGTTTATAAATAGCTGAATAGGTCAGCACCACGAATAACTACAAAAGAGGGGGCTAAGCTATTCAAAGCCTATAATTTTTTTCACCCTAAAAAGGGTCAGAGGGCCACACATAGTACAATGTTAGAGATATATCAACATCTGTCCGTACGATTACGTACCGGTGAACCAATAAGTGCTCGAAAACACATCGACGAATGACTATTTTATTTATTTATTTTATTATCTTTTTTGTCAAACCCACATAGGCTCTGTCTTCACATGGAGATTGGAACCATGCCTATTGGCCCCCTTCCTCGCTGCCTTTTATGGTGCATCAAGCTCATGGCACAAGAAACATAAATTGGTATGGGTTGCTACTCGTTTTTTTTCCTTGCTATTTTGGAAAAGATCTTTGCATCCTTGGCTTCTTTTGTCCGAAAAGTCCACTTCCAAAAACCTACAATAAATGTCATTCCTCTGGTCTCTACTCTCCACACGCTAGGAAAAGGGGAACTTGATTTCCTCGAGTTTCACTTGCATTGGTTTTTCTGTTCCACGCTGGTTTTTATTTTTATTTTTTTATTCAATGATATTTTTATTGAATGATAAAAAATATCTTTAAAATAATTTGTGTATCAATAAATGTTAATTTTTTTTAGATGATTATAAGAAACATCGACTTAGTGCATTTAAACATATCTATTTAATCAAGAAAGAGACTAATTTCTGTAGAGTTTGCTTTTTCAAATGATTTATGATAAAAATGTAGGGCTAAAATGTTGATGTGAATTCAATATTTAAATAAACTAACATAAAAAGATTTATAACTGCACAAATTGTATTTAAAAATGCAATGAGAATATTTATAATCCACTTCACATTAGGTAAATATTTTAATCCTCCTTTCTTAACGGTTGGGATATATTATATAGTTTGTACCTCGTATTCGACCTATGTTGAAATGAAATCCATTATTCACTATAAAATCTTGAATTTTAAATGAATCACCAACCTAATTAAGAGAAACGAAGAAAAAATATTTTTGATTGAAAAAGAGATGCAGATGCAAGCTCGTTCATGCACAGGGCGTGGAGTCCCAGCAAATTAAAATTCATGACTTGCAAATTGGGCAAAAATACGACAGCAAAATTCAATCAACGGCTAGAATCAATTCTTTTATGAAAATATAAAGATTAATATGACTAGAGAGAATTATCAAGTGTTTTATGGCATCCTTTGTGATTTTTTCTTTCAAAAATTTGAAAATAAAAATAGAAAAAATATATATTTTATATTGTTTTTCAGATGCAAAAATTGGCAGCTGCTAGCCGATTTTTTTTTTTCCCTCCTTTAAAGCCATACGGAGTGGTTTTCAAAGGTTGTAGTAATTATCAAGTGTTGTCTGGCATCCTTTGTGATTGATTTTTTTTGAAATTCTTACTTTATGATATATCACTAATTGATAATATTATAAAACAAAATTATCAAAACTAAAAGTTTCGATTAAAATAAAAAATTAAAAAAATACAATGTTTAAATGTAAAAAAAAATGAAAATTAGAAATGACGTGACGTGGAAGAATCCCGGGCTCGAGTACCATACCATAATTGGATCACAAGCGTAGAAAGATATATTTATATATATATATAAGCAAAACCTATCCACAAAAGTAGCGTCAATATTTTTCATACAATGAATGCTACCTAATTGTAATTTGCAAGCATAATCTAACTACTTTTCTTTGTGACAGGACAAGCGGCAAGTGAGGTTCCGCCTGTGATGCTGAAAGAAAGAGGGTAAAATAGATATTTTCTTAGCAACCTGTCAATCAATTGTCAACAACTAATTCCATTAAATTAGGAAAAAAACAAGAGTTCAACAACCAATAATTTCAACTAAAAACAGCATAGAGAGCCCGTCTTGGAATTTCCCAATATTAACTTTTCCACGTATCTTTTGTCGCCACTTGTCAGAGAGTTTGTGTATTTTATGCCATTTATATTCACTGTCTTATTTGGTTTAGGTTTTGCCTTTTTTGGGGGCTGGGCTCCGTTCCGTCTTAAGGAAGCTTAACTGAGGAAATTAAGGTTTGGCGTGTGAATATGTGTGCGCAAATGGACCCACCCGGTGTGCTCTGGTGGTCCTCCCTTTTTTTGGTAAATTTTGTATCCTTAAAGTCTGATGGGTTCTCAATTTCTCACTGGAAATTTCTTTTATATGAATCACTCCTCGAATTTTCATCAAAGTTTCAATTCTTCCTTTTCATCTCTTAAACTAAAAAACTAATGATATGACATTTTTTATGTTTGAATTGAATTATTAAAATATTACAAAAATCTCAACCAAATATTTATTCTTTAATCATATTAAAATTCATTTCATCAAAATTTTAAAAAGAAGAATTAGTATTATTTTTCAATTATAAAATATCACATTATTAATTATTAGTTTGAATTTATGAATTTTAATATAATTTGAAGGTTGCTCACTACTTACCACCGTGTCAACTCCCTAAAATGGTGTACTTAATTAAAACTTTTAAATTTAGGAATTATATATATATAAAGAAAATAGAACAGAGCATTTATTGGGAAATAAGTGGTCCTTTTGGGCTATCTCTTCGGTGGTCTAATTCTAAACACGGGCCATCCATTATTTTGGGACGTACACCTACCCAAACACAATACTGGATGAGTTATGAAATCTGCGTTTGTAAATATTCTGTATTATAGACAAGGTTTTTCTAAGAGTACTTTAGCCAGATAAAAAATAGAGTAACAAAGAACATTAATGACCCTCTTAAGCTAACTAAGGAACAAAAATCCTATACAACTGCTTTATCGTTTTTTTTTTTTTTTGCTACGTTATAATAATAAAAAATATAAATATATGCGATGCATCAATTGCGATTTTAACCCCTTTTTTTAGGGTAAGGATGATTTTAGCATTTATATACCTCCATGAAATTTAGTAAAAATCTCACTCTCGGTTATTAAATTTACATTGATGGGTATAACTCGTAGCATTCAAGGACCTCCCATAAAAATATTACATTGGCTTGTAGTAAGATGATAAGAACTGCAACCTTTTTTGTTGCCTTCCATTCCATGTAGTGCCAAATTCCATCTTCCATGCTAGTTGGAAAATTAGCTCCAGCATGGAATACTTTTTTCCCCGACTGATAACGAAACCAATACTGGGACAGGATCCGATTCAAGCAAATATTTATTCACACAACTTCCGTAGCTTGTGCTTAATTATATTCACACAACTTCCGTAGCTTGTGCTTAATTAGTATCTAGAGTACAATATCTAAAATGCATATTAAAAAATATTTTAATCCAAAATTTTTTAAGTTATTTATCATTTCTTTATATTTAAAATTTATATATGTTTATATTATCTTGTGTTAAATTAATTATAAAAAAAAAAAGAGAAAAACGAGATTTAAATTCATAACTATTTAGTTAAAGATTTTTTGATATCCTTTCAACCTAAAAAAATAATGTGATTATATGATGTTTGAAAAATAGCTTTATATATATAATAATGGCTCCTTAGATGTGTCAGATTCTCAGCATCGGGACCAGTGGCTCCTCCTTGTCATGAAAAATATGCCAACATAAGCACGTGAATGAAAATAACAGCAAGCTAGCTTTATTTATGGCCAATATCCATCCCCAAAACAACATCAACATTATACATTACTAACTCTATGATGGGTGATGAGGACCATGCTTTTCCCGTGATGATCTTTTTTCTAAATAAATAAAAAAAAAAAAAAAAAAAAAAACTCATTACGCATGAAATCCACTAATGGGTTGATGTTGGGGCCCACTACAACAGCCCAGATAAAAAGTTTGCTGTCACTTAGTTTTAGAGAGGTTCTTTTTATTTTGTTTTTTTCTAGGTAGTACATTCCTCTCGGCCCAGCTTCACATGGCAGAAATCCCCCACCCAAAAAGAAAAGAATGGGGGTCCTATAGAACGGATTGCATAAAATAAATAAAAAATTAGTAATCTTATTTTAGTGAAAATCTTAGAAGGAAACAAATCATCAAAGAGTGAATTGAAGGCAAACCACTTCACAAGGTCAACCCCATGATACATTTGCTCACCATTTTGGTTTTTCACTTTATCTACATCCTGGTCTAGTACACGGCTAATAACTCAAGTTCTAACAAGCAATACTGTTAGCAATTTTGTTACCTTTTTCTCTTTTTTTTGCCAAAAAATTAATAATAAATAAAATTCAGGATACATGAACTTAGCTAAACTTATAAGTTTCAGTATTTCAATCCGATCTTTGATCAATAATTACCAGTTTATTTATTTATTTATTTATTGAGCTGAGCATTTAAACTTACAATTCTTTTCCGATGGAGTATTCCAACAGTCAATATATTTTCAAACAAGTACCAAATTTTCCTTTTAACTCGCATCTGTTACGGTTAATAAATGCCAACTCGCTTGTCCTTAAATTTGGTAGCTCATGTCATCATTATATCTTAGTACCTAATTTGATATAAAAGTTTACCCTAAACTTTTTTTTTTTTCAGTGGATGGCTCAGATTGGCAGTTTAGGTTAAGCAAATAACATCTCAATTAGGAACTTCATTTCACCAAGTTTTAACGCCGTCGTTTTTCTACAACTGGTAAAAGAGTATGCGAAATAACAATGTTTCACTAAGATACAACTCAGGAACCTTTCTGGCTAATCAAAATTCTCAAGAGCAAGGTTGAAAAAAGGCCCCAGCCCTCTCACCCCTATTACCCCAAAATCCTGTTCAGTACAGAACCACGCTATCGAGGGGTACGAATTGTACACATGACATGAGATAACCTAACATGAAGCCCGAAACACATGCGTCTCATACAATCTCCTCCAGGATCCCATGACCAACTTTTGACGAGTCCTTGTGAACCAAACAAGGTGTAAAAAGTGCTATCAACAAAGGGTTCCGTCTTAGACAAGAAATAAAATTATCCTTCCTGACAAACCCATCACCATCGGTATCAAATATATTGAAGAGCTCATGGAGCTGCAAGTAAACAAGGAATAAACGTTTTGTTATGAATAACTATCTCTCTTTTCTTTTTTGCTAAAGAAGAAATAAAGATGAGAACCGGATGGAAGATCTTATGCAAATAAAATAAAAACCACAAGTTTCTTTGGAAAAATTTGGAAGTGGCTAATACAATAGACCAATTAACAATATTCCCACAAAGAAAAGAGAGCCAGTAAACTGTTTACCTCATCCCCATCCAAGTCTGGAATTGCAAGTCTAATGGTATCTCCCAACTGATCAAAATACAACAGAAACCAAAGTGAGCAAGGATTCTCTCTGAATAAAAAATTGGGGAAATTAATAGGTAAAGGAAAGAACAACATACTTCTTGTTCTGAAATTTGATTATGTCCTCCAGCATCACATTCTGTAAAAGCTAGTTCGCAGGCTTGTCGGAATAGTGGTCGCTTCATGACATGGGCTGATCCATACAAGTACTGCAAGCAACAAACTATATGATCATCTACAGCTGCATACCATGAGATCGTGAATAAAAACGTAGTTTTACATGATCTCTTTGGCCCAAAATTTGTTAGCGAACAGTCACCATAATATCAATAATTGCAGTCACTCCTGGGAATAGAAACCATTGTATAAGTCTCAAAAAAAGTGTTTCTGTTCCATTTGTATAGCATGTATTTGTTCTGCACATACCCCAGTTTTGGCATTTTCTTATAGATTATTTAAAAAAAAGAGTGAATTATAAGCTAAATATCCAATAACTTTGCTCTTGCATCAAATGTTGAAACTCCAATTAGTACAGAAATAATTCGAAGGAAGAAACATAAGAAAAAAGAGCAGAGCACTACATTTGGACCCCTATTACATTGACTTTGCTTGGCATCGTGTATTTGGAACTCCAATGAATACAAGAAATGATTCTGGAAAAGAATAATAGAAAGAAAAAGAACAGATGGATATTTGGATCCATTTTACAACGAGTCAAACAGCAGCCAAGTGCTACGTTAGTTTGGACCCTTTTCACATTGAGTTCACAGTAGGCAAAAGACTAGCTATTGCTGTTTTGCATCTTTTTCGAATAGACCAACATATGCACCAACAAAATGGAGTGACACTATAGTTAGCCTAGTGGATGAGGTTGAGAGTATTTAAGGATCCATCAGATGTTGGTGGCTGAGAAATTTAATCCTAATGTTAAGATAATAAATTGCCAACTACTCTTTTAACTAAAACTTTGCAGATTTTTAAGTTCAAAAAAGATAAAGAGCTTAGGACTGAATTTGCCTAACAATGTGTCAGATTCTATCTTTCCTGAAAATTTAGCAAACATTCATTGATATGGGCACACAACTTGCAGATGCTCGGGTCTCTGCAATACACATTCTAATGATAACTTAACAAGAAACTCAAGCAGGAACTGCATTCATGGTGAAGATAAAACAAATGGGGGAAAATATACCTGCTTGAATGTAATTGATCCACTCTTCTCTACATCAAGGAACCCAAATAGCTGCAGTCCAATGAAACTTAATTATTACTCAAGAAAGGTGCAATTCCACATACATGACATTAGTTTAAAAACCATCATCTGCAGACTGTTCCATTAAAAATTACAATCATTGAACTTCCTAATTGAGCAGGATTCTGCAAAAGCATACAAAAACTTTTCATATAGCATAAATAATTATCCACATCTCTTGTTAATGACCTGAATTCATGCCAGAAACTGATGCAGCTATTTTTTCCAGAGTCAGACAAAAAGGCGGATTCCCAAGGTCTCTGTATCATAATCTATATTTGTACCATGCCCTCAAAAAAATGTAAACAAGTTTAATCACAAGATTTACAAAATTAAGAAATGCTCTTACAGAAAACTAAGTCCACTAAAAGATGAAATGCACACACAGGTGTTGAACTATTCAAGAACCGAAGCTTATTGTGTCACCCCAGATAAAAAGATAGGTGTAGCCATTTTATATCAAGTATGCCAATCTATTGTGTCAAAACCACATCATTAGAAATGATACCGCCTTGCTACTTTGGCCAATTCCCATTCCACAGCACAATAATAACCTTCAATTTGTTTACATGATCCAGTCAAGAGAGTTAAACTAGAAAGGTACGAGTGAGAACATGAATTCAAATATTGTTAGATCACAATTTGTTTTATTTTAAGTGCCTTGCACAAAAATCTACTTTTTGGGATAACTGACCTCTTCTGTAAGTGTACAAGACCTCAGTCTGAAAGCCCTCAAAAAGTCATGGAATTCAACACGACCGCTGTAGAGAGAAAGAACGATTCAGAACATATATTTGCATTTGCTATTGCAGAAAATATCAATGGACTTCAATAATCACAGTCATGAATGATAGAGTTTGTGTGTTTCCATTTAAAACTTTCAAATTTCAATGCATCATCAAACCATTATAATGCTAAGCATAACAATCAGTTTAAAGAAGAATAAAGTTTATGGACAACATAAAATGGGACAAAGAAAAAGAAAGCCCAAAGCTGTGGACAACAAAACATGGAAGCATGGCCTCGGAATGGGTTGCAGATTTGCAGTATGGCCAGAATTGAGAGACAGATAAGAAGAGGTGCCAAGTTACAAAGCTCGGAAGGATGACAGCAATCATTTAACAAAATCAAATAAAACATGATAATCATCCTAATAAAGAATAATGAAAATAACAATCACCACAAGAATTTCTTAACAAAAAGGAGAAACAGTATGGAAAAACAAAGGGAAGCAGGATCCAAGCATGTAAGACTACAATTAAAGAGAGCTTGACAGTCTTCAGTTTCACCACTGAGTTCAAGAGATGCAAGAATCCCACCAGCAGGAGCTTGCCAGGGAGTCGAGTAATTACAGTAGTTGAATGCTGAAGGTAGAACTGTCTTCAAATTTTTCCTCCCATGATACCAATTCAGCAGTCCATAACTAGATAGTAGCCTTTAAAATCAAGTACAAGATAGCATCCTTCAAGCAAAAGCTAAATCAAACAATAAATTCCTCAGTTTGGAAAACTTAATACCTGGCATCTGGATTCATAGACAGAAACTTCTGCAGAAAGTCCACAGCTTCCAAGCTGCTTATATGAAACAACTGAAGCACAAAATAACCACCTCAGTAAAAATATGGTAAGATAAGCTATAAATAGAAAATATGAAGGATGCAAGGCCTTCTTTGAAAGCTACAAGACTTAGTTTTTTACTCATGCATTGCACAAACCATATCTGTGGTGACTCAATGGGTTTAAAAAAATGATAAATTAAAATGAAGGCAAGGTATGCAAATACTAGAAGTTCCAAATTGCAAGACTCATGCTACCGGAAACATGGCCAAGCACAATTTATCTGAATGGTGCATGACCAGCAAATCGTCTCTAACTCTCAAACACACAATTCATCCTAACTATGAAATGAGAGCATCATTTTCTTTCTTTTTCCCCAACAATCTTCAAGAAAATCTGTCCTGCATGTTCAATTACTTCTAGACTAGTGGTACGAGATACATCTGGAAATGAATTTGCTACTGTGTTAATTCTATGCAAGTACTCCCCCTTACTGGAAACCCCAACTAGAGGTGACAGAGAGTCTCGTATCAAAACCACAGGTGACTTTACCAGCTTATCTGACACACACACCAACAGGAGTTCTGCTACAGTTGATAAGGAAGAAAATTAGGACACAAGAATTTACTCATGACCAAAAAGAAAAATAAAAAAAAAGGTTATTAAGATTTTGCAATATTCAACAAAAGGGAACCCTCTTTCAATTTTCTTAATTAACAACAAACTCAAATTTAAGGTTTTGAATCAAAATACTTACTGATTCCACCTTCGCCATTTCAACCATATAACTCGAGGGCTTCTCCTGTAAAACAATGTCATAACAAAAATGAAATATCAGTGCAAACTCCACAATCATTTAGTTCCTATGAAAACAATGTAAACTCCTTATTGTATTAAGCAAATCAACCAGATTGTATTAAGCAAATCAATCAGATTAATACATATTGATATGTAAAGCTCCATCATGCAGAAGCTATGCTAACAAGAAGCAGCTAACACATATTAGACACACGAGAAACATAGAGCCAGTATGATGTAATACTTGTTTTGACACCCAGCAGTTAAGACATGGTTGCCAATAAATGAGAGGATTTGAGATGCCCAGTCTCTCAGTGTCACGCTAAACTGGATCAACACCAATAATAGTTCTTTCTAAATTGATTCATTTCTAATCACCACATAAAGAAGTTATGACTTATGAGGTGTAGCATAAAACTCCAGACTTAAAAGCATTGCGCATTATTAAGTCCACGAGACACCAAGGCAAAATCAGATATTCCGAAGTCAATCTTGTATCGTTACTAATGCTCATTCCCTAAACAGACCTATCAACTACTTCACAATGTGGTGAAAACACATGAGCAAGATAAATTGAAAAGGCCAATGCTGGAAAAGAAATGTTATACCTGCTTCAACTCAGATGCTTTCATGAGAAGCATCAAGTCGCCATAAGAGTGATAAGTTTGAACGACATTGAGAGCAGATGCAATAGCATGGCCTGTCTGTACGGATTCATAGTCAAATGTCACTACTAACAATTATCAGAAAGAATGGAGAAGCATACAAGAGGAATATATCAACACAGATCCATATTGGGCAGCAGCATAGTGGGCATTTGCATGTCAAGAAAAAGAACAAAAGCAAAAAAAATGGCCACTCAATCAAACAACTGAAAGCAAACGAATTAAAATCAATCACTTACCCTCTTGGCAAAATGGGAAGGATTTTCTTTGCAATTATCAAGGGGTGAAATAATTGGTAGATATTCTACCTGTTCAAATAAGAATAAATTATTAAAATTTATTTGATATATATATATATACAGCTTTAGATCATCATATTACATGGTAACCCAATATCATATTTAACAGGTAACAAGAAAGCATACCTCCATAAAATTGTGAAACTGTGTGAACATTCTAAACATGAGCATTCCCAGAGAAACATTCCCCCTAACAAACCATGATAAGTAAGGTTGATTAAACACCATTAGAAACAGTCAATAAGGAATTCCATGTATGGAGAAAGCCCTACCAAGATTGATCAAAGTGAACATGGGGATAACGGACAATTACTGGTTGAATTGCATAACCAGGGATGAACGCTCCAAGTTGGAATGAAATGAGGACCTTTCCATTAGTTGTCGTTCCCTCAGGAAACAAAAGAACTCGAGGAAATCTATCGCAAGAAGCCTTTCTCTGTATTCAGACCCTTGAAAGCACATTTCTGTATCAAATAGCTTATAAATTGATAAAAATTATTTAGATTTATTTTGCAAACTAAACATAATATGACTACTGGATTTCCCAATTTACAGAGCTGTTGAGTAGATTTTTAAGATCTATTGAGACTAGGCAGACATTTTTTAGACATCCAGAACAGAATAGGGCATTTGCATATTAGGTGCATTTTCATGAATCTGAGCATTACATAATATGTGCAAGTCACCAAACAATACTGAACAGTAATTTTATAAATACAAAGAAACATAAAATTAGTAAACATTACAAAAACTTTCTACCTTTATTTCATTAACGGCATGCTTCCTTGATGATGGTGAAAACCTATCGACATATATCACCTGCAAACACAGCACAATGAGAAAAGTGATAGTTGAAATCAAATTTAGCGGAAAAAAGAGAAAATGAAAAACTGTCTATTGCACCTAATGTGATGGTATAAATTAAGATTACCTGCATTGCTCTAATAATAGTTCCAACAAAGGGCATAGAATCGTGTGACTCAGCTGCAACAATTGTTGGGAAGAATTCAAAAAATAAAAAATTGGATCAATATATGATACATGATTAGACACAACAATCGGTGCAATTTCTCTTGGAGCTAGCTTTCCTTTCCTTTTAATCCAATGATAACTGCAACACCAACCATCCAAAAAATAAATCACATCAATTACCTTCAATTAAGTATCCAGATAAAAATCAATTCTTCAAAAATATAAAATCTTCACTGTTTCCTTCAAGTAAAAACCCACAAAATAAAAAATCAAAACCCCATCAAGCACATAAAAATAAATTTATTTCCAACAACCAAACAGACATCAAGTTTCAAACTTCAACAAGATATATATATATATATAATTCAACAGCTCCTAAAAAAAAAAAAAGCACCAGCAACAAACCCCAAAACAGCAAACCCTAATCAAGCACATGAAAACCAATTCTTTAAAAACCAAACAGACCCTAAATTTTCACAACAAAAAAAGGAGAAATTTAACATACCCAAAAGAGAATAAGATACAGCGAGCAGAAACCCTAGTGACCCACATTAACCGAGACCTCCATTTGGACATAGGATTATGCTTATCCTTCCATCCATGTAATGCAATTTTCGTTGCAACATACCCTATAACCAAACAAACCCCAAAAAGCACCAATCGTGCAATTGCAATCGGCAAACAAATCACAATCTTAATCAATTCATATAATCCCTCAATAGTAGGCGTATCATTTCTAAACGGATCCAATGTTGATGGTGCGGATACGGATAACCCATCTGACCCAAGAAATTCAAACGGATTGCGGGAAGAAGTATTGAGGTTAGGATTAGGGTTGAGGCTGTGGTTGTTGTTGCTGGATTGTTGAATGGAATAGTCAGACTCATGAACGGTGAGGATTAGATGAGGAGGATCAGACGGCTGAGAGGGGAGGAGCGGGGATTTGAGATCATTGTTTGCCATTGTTGACGGTGGGTGAGGGATTTGAAGGGAAGAGAAGGGAATTTTTGGGATTTTCTTTAGCTAGTTGGAAGAGAAGGAGAGACGGAGGGGTGGGTTGTGGATCGTTACTTTATTTGTTTGATTCCCAAGAAAGTGAGGTGAGGAAAGAAAGTGAATGAGTGCTGTTTCTAGAGTAAATTATAAATTAATTCCTCTCTATTTTTAGAAATAAATTAATTAGTATTGTGGATCGTTACTTTATTTGTTTGATTCCCAAGAAAGTGAGGTGAGGAAAGAAAGTGAATGAGTGCTGTCTCTAGAGTAAATTATAAATTAATTCCTCTCTATTTTTAAAAATAAATTAATTAGTATTTTTTATTTTAAAAATTAATTATTTAATCTAATAATATTTTTTTCTCATCAATCCTTTTTTTTTACTTCTTCAAATAGAAAATAAAAATAAATTATAAAACAATAATACTAAAACTATAAAAACTAAATTCTGTAGGAAATAAATAATTATTTAAAAAATCAAATAATTAATTTTTAAAACTATAGGGACTAATTTATAATAAACTCGTGTTTTTAATTTTATCTCCCACGTTGTTATCATGGACTTGGTTTTTGCTTTTTTCCGTACAAAAAAGATAATTAATTAAAGCACGTTCAAAAAAAAAAATTAAGCTATTGCCTTAAACATTTGTCGGAAAGAATTGTTTTAAGGAAAAGAAAAAAAAATCAGAATTATTAAATTTTATTTACATTGCTACATTCAATCCATTTCTTTGTAAGTCAAGTTTTATTTTTCAATAAAAATATAAAATTTATTGAAAAGATGAATGAACTTCAATTTAGTACATTGCCCATCCCTATTCTTTTTCTTTTTTTTTTCATTCGGTTTTGTTAGTATAGCTTTCATATCAAAATTAAATCTATTTCTTTGATTTAATTAAGAAAAAATAGACTATCACTACCAAATTTTAGAAATTCATAAAAATTTTATTTCATATATATTCGATACGTGAGTTATAAATTCGGAAAATTGAATTATTAGAAACGTAATAGACCCCTTACAATATAATTTGATGAAAACCCCTGAGACGAAATGGGTTTTTTTGTAAACTTTTAAAGCCCTATTTAATGCCCGACAGAATTCATCCGATTCAAACAAACGGGACATTGAAGCAGACAGCAGTGCCTACGGTTATCTTTTCAGGTAGGGTTGTTGAGATTTTGCCAGCTCAGACCCGGCATATTATTGAAGAGAGATGATGATCATAAAATTTTATATAGCTAGCTTACAAAAGTGCACCTAGAGAGAAATGAGAGATGGATATCACAAGGGAGTGGTCTTGGCTGATATCAATTTGTTGGTTTGCCCTGGGCCTACCGTATTGTCACGGTCCGGTCCTGTTCTGTCCACCCAATTTCAGATACATTACATTCTCATAATTTATTTTTTCACCTGACGAATTTAAAAGGGAAAAAAATGTTTTGAGCAGTATATATATAACAAAAATAATGTAAAGTTAGATAAAAAAAAACCAAAAACAGAAATAACAGTGATAAATATATATATATAACAAACATAATGTAACGTTAGATAAAAAGGACAAAAACAGAAATAACAGTGATAATTGGGTTTAATGGAGGGAATTTCGAACTTTTATGGTTTCGGATTAATTGTACTCCAAACATTTTTTTTCCGACAAATATGACCCTTATATATTATTTTTAATGGTCAAAAAGTTAATCGTCTTTTTGGCAGTTAACATTTCATTTTTTTTAATCAAAATATAATCATATAAGACTAGGTTATTTGTTAGGTTTTAAAATTAATAACACTCACAATTTTTTTTTAAAGTATAAATAATCAAAAATAAAAATACATATATTTAAATAAAAAATAAACAAAATCATGAACAATTGATTCAAAATAAAATCAAATATTTATGCTCATATGGTTGATAAAGTAATACGTTAACATGTTGATTTAATAATTATGTTAGCATGAATTTAACAATAAAAATACTTGATTAGAAAAAAAATTAAAAATTTACCTTAACGACAATCTAGTTAATACATACACGTTGTTGATGCAAAATTTAAAATTTATTATAATCAAATTTTTCTATTAAATTAATATTAACATACCCATTAAATTAATATGTTAATATATTGAACTATCCACCATGTGGAAATAAATAATTTATTTTATATTTATCTGGTATATGCTTTAAAAAAATTATAAAATAGCTAATTTTAAAATTTAATGAATAACCATTATACAATCTTATGTGATCATATTTTGATCAAATTAACTAAAAAAAACTAGAATGATAATTAACTATTTGACCGCTAAAGATGATAAGGATTATATTTGTTAAAAAATAATAATAATAAGATTTAATTAACCCAAATCGATAATAAGAGCCCAAGCTTTGGAATAAACCGTAATAATTGATGGAAAAACTTGCCGAGTGCTGACACAATGACCGATACCACGAGCATGGACAGCACGAGTGAGCATCTCCATCTTCAAAAGAGAATTTGTGGATTCAAATACAACATAGGGATCTCCAAATCTTGAGCTTTCGCTGAGCACCAGCATCACTCTTTACAGCTCAGAAACTTTTTCTAGCTCCAAAATGGAGCAGTATTTTGCACATGAAAAAGTCTGCAGCTGATCATGTGGGACAGGCGCACTCTACGGAGCAGTTCTCCAATAAAAATTCAACAAGGGAAAAGGGGAAAATAAAAATCAATTCTAAAGGGAACTTTCTTTTCCGATCTGGATTTACAAGACTCCATCATCAGTGGTGGTCCTGCGCAAACCACCAACTTTGCATATTCTGCCCCAAAACTCTGAGATATCCACTATTTAGATTAAATAGCCCGAGAGACTCGAATGACTGTAATATTTGTACGATAAACAGCCTGCCAAATCCATCTGATTCGCACACATCCTAAGCTTTATTTTTCCCTTTTCCCATTTCCTCTAGAGGTTTTGACATCAAGGGAAGAGTGGTCACCATAACTTAGTTTTCAATCCATCTAATATTACACAGTACACCATTTCCGCTACTCTTTGCTGTCAAATGATGATCATGGTTAAGGACTCTTTCCTGCGCTCACATTCTTCATATTGCAGATTGGAGAGCCTAAGCACAATCACAAGTCAAGTAGAAATGGCACGTTGGAGATATAACATGCAGCAAGAAAGGAACTACTCAGTACCGGCAAAGTCGTTACTCTTGCTGACCTCTGGTTTCATCTGAGCTATGTTTCTTTTTGCTATGATCCATATCACTCTTGTCAATCATCAAAAGATTGTCGATCAGCAAAGAATTGTTCATCTTCATCGTCTGGAGGCTTATACTCCTTTCCCCTCCATACCACAATCTGCTCCTTGTCAAATGTTACAAGGATACAAGGAACCAGGTCCTGTGGCAACAATGAGAAACATCAAAATTTTGAGAAAGAGAAAAATATTGAAAGTCAATTTTTCAGGCTAGTTTACCATCAGAGTAAACATCATAACAGCGAGATAAAAAGAAAATGAAATAAAAACTGCCAAAACTAAGTTCACATGCATTTATGAAAGTGCAAATTTGAGCGCCTGGAAACTTTAGTAATGGAAACTATGCATTGCACAATGGATTAATCCTTCAAGCAGCAAGTTACAGTCATCGTGATTTGACACTATGTGTTGCATCATTCCACTCTTTGTTAATAGAATTTACAGCAGAATTAAAATCAATAGTGGAAAGAACAGGGGAACAGAAGAGAGGATACTTAATGGATGGGATTTATAGTTTTGTTTCTAAAAATCTCAGCAATATAGTTCCATTAAGAAGTTGAGATACCCTCTACACAGTGGTCTGTGAGTAACTTTCTAATAAATCAACTGAACAGCACAGCCAAAAGAGAGTATTTCAGCATAATTTTACACAGGTCTAAACATTCTTCACTCTCACATGATCATGGCCACCAGTTATTTATGGGTTTATGGACTCTATAACATCAATATTGTGTGCACCCTTCTCAAAATACCAGTTCAAACTCCCACATAAAAAGAGGTGATACATCGGAGAGTAGAAAGAATCAGCAAGAAAGTCCTTAAGAGAAAAAAAAGCATAAAGAAATTCATCCAACAAATAACTAAACAAAATTCTTCACCCTTTTTATTTAATTAGAGAAACAAACATATAAGATCATCGATATAGGAATCTATACATAGAACTTAGCAGTTGCAGCTAAACCCAAGCAAATAACTAAATGAAATTCTTTACCCTAAGTTTGCAGCCTATTTTCTTGTGATCACTCCTGTCAAGGCCCTGGCAGTCTATTCGAACAAGCTCACTGATGAGAAAAGCATCTCTGACCATGGGCACCAGACTACCATAGTAACCATTTCTGGCTGCAGTTGCAACTTCCAAGTCAGTTACTTCACAGATGCACTACAAGTGTTATGAATCAAACAGGGGGAGAGCAATTACAAAGTTTTGTTAAAGCAGGAACAGCAAGTCCTCTCTTTCTCATTTCCTTTGTCTCCTCAATGCTTAGGCCATCGATTGTGGTTTTGATCAGCTTGGGATATACAGGCTCGTGAGGTTTCCACAGCATTAATGGAATCACGGGCCTGTTCTTGGGATGATAGTTCCTGCCTCTATACAACACAAGTAGACCACAGTGTCTCTGAATGATCTTCCCAAAAGTTTTATCCTGTGACAGACGCATCAAGTGGTGTGAAAATTTTCTTGCAAGGAACATTGTATTGTAGATACTCATGCATAACACTTTCAAATCACATCATGGGCATAGAAAAGCATGTAGCATAAACCTATGGAAAACAAAAGAACATGAAGCAATTTAAAGTATTAACATGGGGGAAAAAAAAACAATTCCTAGGGAAATTGTCTAAAGACAGAGGGGCAATGTCACCAAATTAGAGCAAAGAAGGTACCTCAAGCTGGGTGCAGACGTTTTTCATGTCAACAGTTGAAACACCCATGCACTTAACTCTAACTGCTTCATCACGTTTCCAGTGATTATGAATATCATTAAGCATGTTGTGAGTTAAACCATCTCTGCCTACAAAAGAATAAGAAAGAAAGCCACACAATAAGCCTGAATTGGTAAAAAAGAAGGAAATTTCCATGAAAGATACTCACAACCTATGTTCTTTTTTTCCTCATAATTACATTGTTGATGTGACCAATGGTCAAATACATCTTTTTAAATAAAAATGTCAGCAACATCTTGTTGTGCTCCAGGAGCAATTTTGGTTGTCCACATTCTATGCTCCAAGTGAGGCTAATGAAGAAACCTCACACCACCTTTCACCCAAAAGTTTAAATCACAAGGTTATTATTTGTTCTGTTTATGCATGCCCCTCAATCTCTCTCTAGTCAACAAGAGATTAATATTCCCGAAATCCTTCCCTTTAGGTGTGAATGGCATCCACATTGAGCTCCACATTCTCCTTGAATAGAAAACTTTCAAATGGCTTGAGTGCTGTGCAAAGCATCAAGAGTCCAATGCTCACAAGCACACGAACCACTACCATGCCCATTTATGGGAACCATAGACATGCTCTTGGACCAATTTGCCAAGGAAAAACAGGTTATTGACGACAATGAGCTCTAATACCTCTTTGTGGTGCTTGAGGGACAATCTTAGGGTAAGACATCCATGTTTGACAGGAATAATAGTATTTGGGGAGCTCATCAAGTATACACCGCTTTTGACACAAAAGTTTATGCCATTAAGTTACTAGTCTCTCATCACATATGTGCCCCCGAGTTGCTATCCATCTAGTCAACAAAACTAGCTCATATTCTCCCCCACAAAGTAACTAAATAAACTAGATTTGCAGTGAGAAGAACCAAAATCTCCTGCAGGACCTCAATGACAACCACACAAAAAGATGTTGAAGAGAAGGTCGAAATATATTGTACTTAGTACTCATCATTATTTGGCTGTATACAAACATATGTTTTCCCACGATCGTCATTTAGACAAACTTAAACGAATTCAACCCTCTACTCACCACTTTTCCTAAAACGTAACTATATTGACAATTTTAATAGCATAATATTGCAAAAATACGTTCTTTTTATCTCGCTGGCTTCATAAAATATCAGCATTTTAACATTAAATATCAAATCTTAATTAACAAATCGAATTAAACGATCCAGAAACAGTCATAGACAGATCAAAACCCTCAAATCCCCCGAACCCAAACATCACCACGAAAAATCAAAACTTTTTAAAACAAAACATACCCAAATTAATTTGCCTCTTAGTTTTATTTCTCTGACATTTGTCCACCAAAATCTTCCTCTCTGCATTAGTTAATGGCTTCCCTTGAAACCTTTCTCTTATAACCCTCCTTTTCTCTTCCAAATCCAGACCCTCCTCACCCGCCCCATCATCAACCGACTTCACCTTCGGGTCAACCGCTGGTGCACAAACTCCGGTCCAAGTCCGGTCCAACCGGCCAGGCCCAAACGGTGAGTACTTGGGCTCTCTAAGCCCAATGGGCCTCACATTTGGGCTACTCTCTGTGTAACTAAAACGGAAATCGAATGGTAAATCGGAGCGTAAGGGCTTCTTGCTGGTTTGATCAAGAGAAGAAGGGGGACGATATGGAGGTTTTTGCTTCTTTTTGTTGTTGTTGTGGTAGTTGTCGTTGGGGTTTTGGGTGCTCTCAGGGGAGAGGGAAGGTGGGGGTTTGAAGCAATAGATATCGTGCAGTTTTGAAGAGGCGGTGGATGACGAGAGGTGGCGCGTGAAGAGGGAGTTTTTTTGGGGCGAGAGGCGCGTGAGGGGGAACATGGAGAGTGGGGGTTTCGTGGCTTTGTTTGTTAGTGGGGTTTAAGCCTTTAAGGGCTGGAGTTGTGTTGGGTTTAGTAATGGGAAATGGTGACGATGTTTTGATGGCAATGAGACTGGGCTCTATTTTGACGGCTAAGCTACCTTCCCAAACCAGCTTCTCTCTCTCTCTCTCTTTCTCAATCAAACCAGATTTTTTTTTTTCAATACCATGGAGTAGTATTTCTCTCTAAGAAATAAATCTTTTTATTATATTGTAGACTAATAGTAAATTATAATATAATTATTCATCAATAATATCGCTATATTAGATTGTGAAATTTGTAAAAACCATGTGTAATATTTTTAGTTCAATAAAAGTCTAATGGATCTTGGCTACGGAACAAGACACTAAAGCCAAAAATAAAAATAAAAATAAAAAATAAAAATAAAAATCATTTAGTGATGATTTAAATCGACGCTAATTAAACTTAGCGACGGTGTAAAACAATCATTAAAAAACTTCTCGCTAATTAATTAATAATAATTAAAGGATTTCATCGTGAATTTAGAGACAGACTTATTCGTCGCTAACAAATAAAAAATCCATTGCTGTATAGTAGAAAAAGATTATCAATTTAGTGATGGTTTTCACAAAATAATTAATAAATCATCGCTAAATTTAGTTTTTATATAACGATGGTTTATTTAAACCATCGCCGGTTATGGTCAAATTTAACTTGGATTTAGCTACGGGTTCAAAACTATTGCTAAATCATTTTTTGTTATATTTTTCAATCAATTATTTCATTACTCACATATCGCCGATAAAAAATATAAAATTCAATCGAATTTAAAAACTACAATAATAGTATGAAATAAAATTATAGAAAATACAAATCCTTTATAATATATAAAATCCATTCCAATATATATTCAAATACCTTTTTGCATATCGAGCATAAAAGCGATACATTGGAATGGATTTTGAATATAAAACATAAAAGCGATAAAAATAAATAAATAAAATAGTGTGACGAAGGGGCTACATCTCACATATCGGCATTTTCATCCGACGCATGATGGTCGGTCGAAGGATTAACGGGAGAAATATCTTTTTGCATATTCGCTAACATTTGCTACATATGTCGCATTATTGCAAACGGCTCTTAATTATTTTGCTCTAACCGTTTTTGACTTTCCGGAATGATGTAACGAGTAGCCTCTAGTTTTTGAACCTTTTCTTTTTGTATAACAATGTTGGCCTTCACTTTTTTTCGATGCACCTCAATATCAATATGTAACCGCGACATGATCGAGCTAAAGGATGAACTAACATTTAAGTAACAATGAGAGGCCCGCAATTCGAGTCCATGCATTCTTTTTCTCTTACTATCTCTTCCTCTAACAACCCTCTTAAATATCTCGTTCATGTCAATATTGGGTTAAAATACCCTCCGTCCTCTAGCTTGCAACCTCCTCCTCAAATATTTTATCGACGATGTCCTCCATAATTACACAAATTTTAATATTAAATAATAATCTCAATAAGTTATATAAAAGTGACATACATATAAAATTAGCTTAAAAATTATTTACCTTGAGATTTTTTGCCCGTTGATCAATGAATACATACTTGTCATCAAACTTTTTTTCGTGAGTTTTCAAGAACATCTCGTGAGCATCGGGCTCACGAACCAACTCATTACCTTAAAGGAAACATTCTTAAATGCATATTGATGTTGCAATAATTACAAATAATAAATTTTATATTATATATATATAGACTTAGCATGTACATTGCATGCTCCCTATGTGTGATCAAACCCCTCATATGTCTAGATGAGCCAACCCCAATGCCACTCGTCTCGCTCATGTGGTTTAGGGCCACTTGCTCAAATCAAGCTCGAGACTCGGGTTTTGTCCATTTCAATCGTTATGCATCCCATATCTCTTGTGAGATACACGTAAAGGAATTCGAAATATCGCTTCCATGCCGGACTTTGTCATGCTTTTCTAAAGCTTCGATTGAACTTCGATCCCACATAAAGAACTTTTACAAGAATCATAAAAATATTCATTAGTACATTTAAATAAATATTAAGAAATTTATAATTAATTAAACTATATATTACCTTAAACTCCTCCCAATAAAAGTCTTTAGTTTACTTGGTAATTAACTTTCATGTCATTCCGGATAGGTCAACATGCTCATGAAATATCTTATAGATTTGACGAGAGCACATATCGAGTGGACACAATCGTCAAATAAGACAATTAATGGTTAAATGAAAGTATTAATATAATAATACATCATGAAAAATATAATTAAAAAATGTGCATAATACGTACTCCTTATCATCAATGAGAGTAATCAAAATGTGAGAATCATATGTAGAATCGATAAGTGTAAAAGACATTCCTAAAGGACGTTTGGCGATGGGCCATGTGCGGGTACTTGACGATTGTCTTGTTAAGGCATGAGCCATAATGACGACAAAGGTTCAAAGGTGTAATAATTTTATTTGATTTATTATGTCATGAGAGAAGGCTATTCCTATTATGTAATTTAATATCTAATGGAATCAATTAAAAAAGAAGTAATATGGTATATATATGAAATTTAATTTAATTTTAAAAGAAAACTGAAATGTTTAAAATGATATCGTTTTAAACATTTCAATTAACGGTCAACACTTTAACATTTAGATACAACAAAAAAAGAGAAAATTTACTCAAAAATGAGTCAACACTTTAACATTTAGATACAACAAAAAAAGAGAAAATTTACTCAAAAATGAATAGTTTGGAGTCTAAATAGTCTAGATTAATACTACATATCTTATTTTGTCACAACCCTAATAGTTTAGCGGTAAATGATATCATTAAACCTATTTTATTTTTATTAAGTAATTTTATATTCTTTTTTGCCCGTTAAAAAATGGTACAAAGAAAAAAAATGAAAGGAGCAGAAAATGAATTTGATTATAAAATTACAAATGTTTGTCTTAATAGCGGATTAGGAATTCATTTTAATCTCGTCAATCAAGACTAAAAGGTTGGACCTTACCATCCCAATTTCCAACAATAGATTAATCCTTTCCAAATAAATCAAGTTTATTCTCTTTAAATTCAAGTTTGTTTTTGTTTAAATCAAAGATCAAATCTTGGTCATGAGTCTAAGCATCAACTTCTTTTAGTCCTAGCCTGATGTGGATCTCTCGTTCTCAGATCAACTAAAGCCGCTTGAATTAAAAAAAAGAAAGAAAAAAGAGGCCATTCCAATTAAACTGTCTCTTTAGGAAACTTTAAGCCATATCCTCAACTATATTAAAAAGTTTACTTGCTTGAATTGGAATTTAAGGGAAAAAGAGGGTTCTTTGATGCTATTGGCACTTCATTTTCAAGCAAACTCTCCTTTGACAATGATCTTTTAAAGTTATGGCTTACGACTTGTGTCCAGAGATTTCTAGTTGAAAAACCTATTTATCATTTCCACTAAGCCATTACGTCGATAGAAATGGTGCGGCGGAAGCAGGCTTAGACACTTCCTTTTTACCGATGGGTCATAGGCACTTCGATATAGTATCATCCACAAATCCAACCGTAGTGCAACTTTATGGTATAGATATATATAGATATGATGTGATGGCTCGTGTAGCTCATATTTACTCAGGACGTCTAGCAATGCTCCAATTTGGTTTCTAGGCAAATTATTGTAATCATTATGTATTTTTATTAGTAAAAAATAGATGAGTATTCAATGTGTCTTTTCATGGTAAAGTGAGTTAATTATATCTTATATTTTAAATGAGTTTTCAATCTATTTTTAAGTGAATTTTTTCAGTCGGACCATATAAAAAATCTCATGACTTAGGCGCACGTGCGCACACACACACACATATATATTATCAAAAATGTTCGTAAGAACAAATTAATTGTGGGGTATTTTCGAAAAAAATTTAGTCATGTACAAGTTGCGTAATTTTATTTTTTATTTTATTTATTATTATTATTTTTGGTGGTTTGCTGCAAAAAATTCATAAAAAAACATTATTGAAAAATCACTTAAAATATAGTGACATAATTAATCATTTTAAGATGTAAAAACATCAGTCATTCCGCCTTTATGAATTCTGAAACCTAGGCAATTTTACTTTAATTAGGCAACGGATGTATTTAGGTGTATATATATATATATATTGCCTTCTTTTGTTTACTTTCCATGTTTAGTAGTGTTAGGGTTTCTTATATTTTCTATTGAAGCAAATTTATTTATTTATTTAAGCAGATGTAATAGCCTATTGAAGTAACTCTGTTGTGTGAGGTTTTTTGAGGGTTTTGGGAACTTGGAGCATGCAAGCAGGAAAAAGAAGTTTTGAGCAAGTTTCTCCAAAAGAAGCAATCCTAAACTGAGCTATCTAGCACATTGATTGAGTAGAGCATAGGATCACCGGAATCCTGTTATCTTTCTTCTAAGGTTTCCCAACCTAATACTTCATCAACCAGAATTGAAGAAGTCAACTGTACGTTTCTGGTTTCTATCGTCATTGAAGCTCGTCAGAAGTGTTGCTTTCTATTAAAACATTAAACTACAAGTCCTGAAGATAGGTAGTTGCGGATAGAGTTGACATCATGACCTTAATCAATCCTGCCAGCAACAGCATGTCGAAGAAGAAATTAACTATCCCTTCCATTCCTCTTTCAAATATTTTAATCTTCATCTTGTTAGGTTTTGTTGCCGCAACTGAAGTTGAGCAGAAGGTTTATATTTATCTCTTGCTAAATAACCCTCTCTATATATGTTTTCGTTTTTTAATGTGTCATTAATTTTCCAGTGCAATAATTCTGAATGTTGTTAAATGAACAGGAATTCTACATTGTTTATCTTGGAGATCAACCAGTGAATCATGTCTCTGCAGTGCAAACACATGTGGATGTTCTGTTGTCCATCAAGAGAAGGTAAGTTCACTCTCTGGCTCCCTTCTATTTGATCACTCGTGCAGTACATGGCCACAATTCTCCGATATTTGATTTGAGAATGAAGCAGCCATAGCATTGAAATTCTATTAAGATGAGACCTGTACATGATAATTCAATTAATGTGAAACAGTGATCTTGAAGCTAAGGAGTCCATCATATACAGCTATACAAAGATCTTCAATGCATTTGCTGTAAAGCTAACTAAAGCTGAAGCCAGAAAGCTATCTTGTATGTGAACCATTCCATTTGTGCATGTTTCCTCAATACAATCATGGATTCCAGTTTTGAATTTTGATTTTGTTGGTGTCTTGTTGAGAATGTTCAGGCCTGGATAAAGTTATTTCTGTGTTTCCAAATCGGTATCACAAACTCCACACAACTAAATCATGGGATTTTATTGGGCTTCCTCACACAGCAAAAAGGAACCTGAAAATGGAGAGGAACATTGTTGTAGGTCTACTGGATACAGGTTTTTGAATCTCCTTGATAACTGAAGTAGCTTCTATTTTAAGTTTCTTTTCGCAACAGCAAAAAACAATGGTTTCTTGAGCAAAAAAAAAAAAAAATCTGTTTCTTGGCTTGTGTACCAGGGATCACTCCGCAGTCTGAGAGCTTTAAGGATGATGGTTTTGGACCTCCTCCTACAAAATGGCGAGGCACTTGCGGCCACTATGCTAATTTCTCAGGATGCAACAAGTAAATTTGTTTATTATAGATGAAACAGAATTGTTAGTGATTTTTTTTTCTTCTTTCGACCTAGATACTAAATTTTAGGAAATGGTTTCAGTACTTACTTCAATCTTTGATTACCACTAATTGAGTGTTGCCTTTCTTTAACCTCTGATTTCTTTCCTTCTTTCTTTCTTTTTCTCCCACCCAATCTTGGATCTTAAAGTAAGCTTGTAGGAGCTAGATACTTCAAGCTTGATGGCAATCCGGATCCCAGTGACATCTTATCTCCAGTAGATGTGGATGGGCATGGGACACACACATCATCCACACTAGCAGGAAACATAGTTCCAGATGCCAGCCTATTTGGGCTAGCAAGAGGCGCTGCACGCGGTGCGGTACCACATGCCAGGGTAGCCATGTATAAAGTGTGTTGGGTCAGCTCTGGTTGCTCGGATATGGACATACTTGCTGCATTTGAAGCTGCTATCCATGATGGTGTCGATGTTCTATCAATATCTATTGGTGGAGTGAGTGGAAACTATTTGTCAGATGCATTAGCCGTTGGTGCTTTTCAAGCCATGAAGAATGGAATTATCACAGTGGCCTCAGGTGGAAATGATGGACCATCTTCTGGTTCTGTTGCGAACCATGCTCCCTGGCTCTTGACCGTTGCAGCTAGTGGCATCGACAGGGAGTTTAGGAGCAAAGTTGAGTTGGGAAATGGGAAGAGCATCTCAGTAAGTTCAACACTGCCATCAATTCAAGAATCTTAAGTTCACATTGATAAATTTCAGGTACAGAGTATGTAAATTGTAAAGCTTTTGCATTCAATGTGACTTTAGGGTGTTGGCGTGAACACATTTGAACCAAAACAGAGATCATACCCACTTGTTAGTGGGGCCGATGCTGGTTACTCTGGAAGCGAGGACAGCGCAAGGTACTGGTAATTTGTTTGTCAAGAAATATGCAGTGAAAAATTTGGTAGGCAACGTTGCTAAACTTTATCACAGGTTCTGTGCTGATGGCTCGTTGGACCCTAACAAGGTGAAAGGGAAGCTTGTCTTGTGCGAGTTAGGAGGGTGGGGTGCTGATTCTGTGGTTAAAGGTATTGGAGGGGAAGGCATTATTCTTGAGAGTGAGCAATATCTTGATGCTGCCCAAATTTTTATGGCACCAGCAACCATGGTCAATGCCACAGTCAGCGACGCAGTGAATAATTATATACATTCCACAATGTAATTAGCATTTCTGGTTTAGTTCTGTTCCCAGTTTCTGCTATACTATCCTGAGGCTGACTATCTTCGATAGACACAGGTCTCCATCAGCAGTGATACACAAATCCCAAGAAGTACGAGTCCCGGCTCCATTTGTCGCTTCCTTTTCATCTCGAGGTCCAAATCCAGGATCAGAACGCATTCTCAAGGTATATCATATATATATAAAAAAACTCAACATGATTGATTTCTATAAACACAACTAAAACTTATTTTTTGATTTTCTGTGACACAGCCTGACGTTGCAGCACCAGGAATTGACATTTTGGCATCATTCACTCCCTTGAAGTCGCTTACCGGGCTGAAAGGTGATACACAGTACTCAAGATTTTCTCTTATGTCAGGGACTTCCATGGCTTGCCCTCATGTTGCTGGGATAGCCGCCTATATAAAGTCATTTCATCCAACTTGGACTGCAGCAGCAATCAAATCCGCCATTCTGACAACAGGTAAAAACAAATTCCTACTTCAGTTTTCAGCTCAATTATAATAGTCAATTGTCCCTACTCACACCTTCATCCAATCTTTGCCAAGCAAAATCTATGAGCTCCAGGGTGAACAACGACGCAGAATTTGCCTATGGTGCTGGTCAAATAAATCCTGATAGAGCTAGAAACCCTGGCCTAGTCTATGATATGGATGAGATGTCTTACATTCAGTTCCTATGCCACGAAGGCTATGATGGATCCTCCCTATCTGTTTTAGTTGGTTCAAAATCCATCAACTGCTCCTCATTGCTTCCTGGACTTGGCTATGATGCTCTTAACTATCCCACTATGCAACTTAGTGTCAGAAATGAGCAGGAACCAACCACAGGTGTTTTTAGAAGGACAGTTACCAATGTAGGTCCTTCTGCCTCCATCTACAATGCAACCATCAAGGCTCCTCTAGGAGTAGAAATCGCGGTAAAACCTAATAGCCTCTCCTTCTCTCGTGCTTCGCAGAAGCGAAGTTTTAAGGTTGTGGTTAAGGCAAAACCTATGTCAAGACCTCAAATATTGTCAGGTTCTCTTATATGGAAAAGCAATCGTCACATTGTAAGGAGCCCTATCGTTATTTTCAAAGCACTGGACTAATACTCAAGTACAAAAATTGATTGGAAAAGAAGTACTCTGTATTATATACTACCATACCGGTTTGTGTGTGTACGGTATATCGATACGGCGTACTTAATGTTTGGTAAATTATATTATGCTGAGTTTGTTCGTTGTGATTGCCTTGCTAAATTTTGGTGCACATCCGATTGTAGATGAATTTGCCAATTCTTGCCACACCAAACATTAATAAGCAAGAAGTGATTAATTGATTGATCCCTCTGAGTCTTGTCCGTTCTGCTTTAGTGAAGGGAAAAAAAGAAGAAGAAAAAAGTAGACGCACTCATTGGGAATTGGGTGGTATGCACAACGGTGCAAAAAAAGTGGATAGAGTATATTTTGTAGTTTTAAATCGTGGATAATTAAAAAATAATCACGATCGTCATCGTAAATTATAACTTATTATAATATTAAAACAACAATAATGAGATATTTTTTATATAACGTAACAATCGCTATTTAAAATTATAGTATAGCCATTTAAAGCTATAAATATACTATGATGATAAAACTCCATTGCTTACTTGCCTTTGTATCAAGCGAGTTGGAAATGGATCTTCCCTACACCATAAACAGAAGGGCCATGCTGCTTGTATAATCTAAAGTTGGACGGACAAGAAAACAATATTTCACTTATAATAAATCATTTAAGTTCAAAAGAACCTTATGCGTTCTTTATTTGGCAAAATTAGCAAGGCTTTCCTGTTTCTAATTAAGGAATATTTTGGTAAACAAGATAGTTGGCACCATACTCTAAATTAAGAACTTGTTTGCACCTCGTGTCACGTTCCAGGTTGGCCCTTCTTAGCAAAAGCCATTTTCATTCAAAAGTAAATTTTCAAATTTCAAGAGACAGAAATTAGGGCATGATCTTCATCTGTAGTGGCCCAACTTTGACATTTAGGGTGACTAGAAGTTGTTTGATATGTGGCCAATTACATGTGGATCAGCTTATATGGAGGAGAACAGTGTTTTGCACACGATCATAAAGAATTTTGCCGTTAATGTTGGGTTTATGATGGCGGCTCTTTTGATGTTTTTTGGGATTATGGACTACAAGAAGATCCTGGAAGAAGCCAAATCCCCACAACGCCATGCCTCGGCTACCTTCTTCGTGGTAGTTTTTGCCTTCTATTTTGTCACTTTTGTGGTTTTTGCAATCATACAATGTGTAGATGCCTTCAAATTTATCTTTTCTTCTCACAAGATTGCACCCTTCGAAACCACAGAGCAGGAGCCCAGGGCTCAACCCCAGCCTGGAACATGATCATCATGATTTTTGATCCTGGGTTTCTCTAATCTTCCTACAGTACATTAATTCCTTCTCTTTCCTTGTAAGTTAATTTGTTGCTTTTTCTTTCTTAGAAAATTGCAGTGGACGGTTCTCGTTTCTTGCATTGTGTAATAAGAAAATAAGCAATGATCTAGGTCTGACTTGTCTAAAATGAGCCTCCTCTCTTGTACAATTTCAATAAAAATAAACAACAAAAAACAAAGAAAACAAAACTCGATCTACTCAAGCCTGGCCCATTCCGAACAAGTAAAAGATGAAAGAAATTGAAATATTTTCATTATTTATTGTGTATCAAGAAAAATGAAAAAGAAATTAACTAACAAGTTGGTCAGATAACCTTGTAAATAACATTTTTGACCGTATGACATATTACGATGAAAATCAGTCCGAGAATATTCATAATGTAAAAACAAAACAAAATCCTTGCGCTTCTTTATTTATTTATTTATTTTATACAATCTGACATACCTCGGAAAGGGGAAAAATAGATGCCGGTTAAACTACGAGTTCGTGAATCACCTTATTCCTTTTTTACCCTTTCTGTTTTTCAGTCCTCGAGTCGGAGCTCCAGATTGATCTACTGTTAGCTAACCAAACTTGGGCTCAGATCCTTTTCTATGGCATGATGAACTGATATGTCCACTTCGATAAAATTAATTATAACTACGGGATTGGGGTTAGATGGTACTTTAAATTCCAGAACTGAACTTGCTTGATGCAAATTACGAATCCAAAACCAAGCTTCAAATGGAAGAATTTTTGGAAGTGGTGCAAGTACGGAACCAGTAAGTAAAAGTTCGAAGGAAAAAGAAAAAACAGTCAAGGTATGACTCATTTTTTAGTGAACTTTTTCGATGATGTTACCTTGTTTTATGTCATTATAAATAAAAATTATGAGAAATAGAATAAAAAACTTGATGGTAATTCAATTTTCAATAAATTAATACCGAAAATTTACAGAATAAATATTGATTTTTTAATAAATAAATACTCATATTCCACAATCGAAAATAAAAACTTATATATCGTAATATAACAATGCAGCTTTTTAATCATAGAAATTAAACATTTTCACAAAATTTTGCACTTTTCATTGAAGCAACAACATTTTGAAAATCAAATTAGTCAACCAATTCTGGGGTGATGCAGGTCTTAATATGGCAATTAATTTCTTTCTTTTTTTTTTTCAGCAATAACAATATTTTCAAATAAGCTTTCTAGACACGAATAAAGAGTACTTTTTAATGCACCCGTCGAATATTTTAGGAATAAATTTTTAAAAATATTTTAAAAATCTAACTATGTACAATAAAAATATCAGGAAAAAGGAATAAAATGTAAAGGAGATTAGTTGATTTTGTCCATTGTCACGACTCACGAGTGCTTAGTCTAATCAACTACTTCCATTTCATCTAGTGATAAAAGCAATCTCTTGCCACTGAAAAGTGAAAAGTCCATTGCTGTCATCAATTGCTGCAATTTTTCTATAAATGTCAACGGACGTCCACTCTAATCTATGATATGGTTGGGATTTTTTTTGTTTGCCAACAAAATACAAAATGATGTCCTTTTGAGATAAAGGGAAAGGAGGCGTGACATCTGACATGCATAGGGAAGGTCCATTAAAACAAAGCTGGTGCACAATAAAAATCCCTCTATTCTTAAATTAGCCAAACCCATCATGAATCGCACCCAAATGCCAACCATCATGCTTAGGAGGCCATTATTGCAAGCTTCATGTCTTGTAAAAGATCCTTTACATGTCTCAGTTTACCTTCTCTTTGAATTCCCTCGCTATTTGCCGAACTATATCTCTAGCTGTGAAAAATCATACTTATAATTTTATCAGATATATCCAAAGCTAATGTCTGAATAGCTAAACTTGCGCTTCCTTTGTTTGTCCTAACTTTCCCATATTTAGCTGTATTTTAGAACATTGATCAACGTAATTTACTTTTCAGTAAAATAAAATAAAATAAAATAAACAATAAGTTTTAATTAGAAGAAGGAGAGTGTTTTCTGATTTAAAAGAGAGCACAACACTTTCTATAAAAGATTCAAAAATTAAAATGTTACACCACTTCATTATTCTTATATATATATATCTTAATATATTAATAAGATACTTTAAAATATATAATACAATATTAGAAAATACACAATACTTATATTATACAATAAATCATACATTTTAAATCATATAAATCATATTATAAAAATAGGATATCATAGAAAAGAGGTTTATTTTCATTATTCACCAAAGAACAAAAAATGTTGGATAGTAATAAAAATTATTATTATTATAAAAAGAATTCATTTTTGGACAAACAAATATGGTCTCGACGTCATCCACTGTTTGCACATGTTAGATATATATGAGCCGTACATTTTTTTTTCGGTGCCTTTATTTTATTAGAAAAATAAAAGAAAATTAGAAACAAGCAAGGTGCTTAATTGATGTAATTTTATATAATTCAACACCATTCAGCGGGGCATGAACTTATTTTCTTTTAATCATGCAAGTTGTAAGTCCATTATCTGAGTTGGTGAAAAATATCATGCTTTCCATTTTTAATCCTCCACGATCTAAACTCGTTGATCCAATTTGTTCGAGAAAAAATTGTCTAGCAGAAATGGTTCTATATTGCAGTTATCAAATCAATCATGTAAGCACGGCCTAGGCCTGTCCCACAACCCATCTTTCTGTAGCTCGTGGAGGCATACACAAGCTTTGCTAGCTCCACCCCCTTTATTCTCTCTGATCAATTAGAAGGCGTGCACTTTCGAAGGATAAAGGAAGAAAGCAATAATATTTTTATTCTGTGCTTTAATGACCACAGTGAGCTCAAGTTGTGATCAGCCTTAAGTCTGCATCTCTTTTTTAATTGCTTATATAAGATGGTTTTCAACGAACTCATTTTCCAGCCTGCAAATTAGTTCTCATTTTCATTTCATTCTATTTTGCTTCTCTTCTAATCGGTTTTTGATCCCATGCATAACAAATAATTCGTCCTTTAGCTTTTTCTTGCCAGTATATTTTTCCACTGTTTTGCAATTTACAGCCACCATGTTCTTTAGGATATGTTTTCTGTTCCTAGCCTTCATTGCTGCAAAAGCAAGTGCTGCTTCGATGGACAAACAGACATATATAATTCACATGGACAAAACCAAGATGCCAGCCCTGTATGACTCTCTAGGCAATTCCAGGCAATGTTATGAATCATTAATTGATTCCATCAGCCAACTATCATCTCAAGAACCAGAAGAAGAACAAGAAACAACATTTCCTCAGCTTCTCTACACCTATGAAACGGTGACTTCTGGGTTTGCTGCGATGCTCTCCACCAAACAAGTTGAGGCCTTGAGCCGAGTCAGTGGCTTTCTCTCTGCCATTCCTGATGAAATGCTGACTCTCCACACCACACACACCCCCCAGTTCCTTGGATTACAAAGAGGAATAGGACTATGGGATGCTCAAAATCTGGCTTCAGATGTGATAGTTGGGATTCTTGATACTGGAATCTGGCCTGAACATGTTAGCTTCCAAGACTCAGGCATGTCAGCAGTACCCTTAAAATGGAAAGGCACATGCGAGAGTGGCACAAAGTTTTCACCGTCAGATTGCAACAAGAAGCTGATTGGCGCAAGAGCGTTCTTCAAGGGTTACGAGGTTATTGCTGGAAGAATTAATGAAACAATCGATTATCGATCCCCTCGGGACTCACAAGGTCATGGAACACACACTGCAGCAACTGCTGCTGGTAACCTTGTAGATAATGCAAACTTTTATGGATTGGCAAATGGTTCAGCAGCTGGAATGAAGTACACGGCAAGAATTGCCGCTTACAAAGTTTGCTGGTCATCAGGTTGTACCAACACTGATTTATTGGCTGCCATAGACCAAGCTGTTGCTGATGGGGTTGATGTGTTATCACTCTCTTTAGGGGGTTCTGCGAAGCCTTTTTATAGTGATAGCATTGCTATAGCCTCATTTGGAGCAATCCAAAAGGGGGTTTTTGTTTCTTGCTCTGCTGGCAATGCAGGTCCATCTATCTCCTCGGTTGACAACAATGCACCATGGATCATGACAGTAGCTGCTAGTTACACCGACCGGAGGTTTCCAACGACTGTCAAGCTTGGAAATGGACAAACTTTTGAAGGGGCATCTCTATATACAGGCAAGGGAACAGCACAATTACCACTAGTGTATGCAGGGACTGCAGGTGGCGAAGGGGCTAAGTATTGTATTAGCGGGTCGTTGAAGAAAAAGCTGGTCATAGGGAAAATTGTTGTTTGCGAGAGGGGAATCAATGGCCGAGCCCAAAAAGGAGAGCAAGTGAAATTGGCAGGAGGAGCAGGAATGCTTTTAATCAATACAGAAACTGGAGGGGAAGAACTTTTTGCAGATGCTCATGTTCTGCCGGCAACTTCTTTAGGAGCCTCAGCAGGTACAGCTGTCAAACAGTATACGAACTCGAGTATAAAGGCAACTGCTTCGATTGCCTTCAAAGGGACAGTGTATGGTGATCCTGCACCAATGGTGGCTGCATTTTCATCCAGAGGGCCTAGTTTAGTGGGACCAGGTGTGATCAAGCCGGATGTGACTGCACCAGGGGTGAACATTTTAGCAGCGTGGCCATCAATGACTAGCCCAACTCTACTTAAAAGCGATAAAAGAAGCGTATTGTTCAATATAATTTCAGGCACTTCAATGTCCTGTCCTCATGTTAGTGGCCTAGCGGTATTACTTAAGTCAGTCCACAAAGAATGGTCACCAGCAGCAATCAAATCAGCGCTAATGACAACAGCTTATGCTACAGACAACAGAAAATCTCCAATTGCAGATGTTGGGTCCATTAGTTATGCATCAGCTACCCCTTTTGCATATGGTTCGGGCCATGTTGACCCAGAGAGTGCTTCAGATCCAGGGTTGATATATGATATTACCATAGAAGACTATGTAAACTATTTGTGCAGCCTAAACTATACATCCTCTCAAATGGCTCTAGTGTCCAGAAGTGCCGTCACATGTCCTGACCATAAGGCTCTCCAGCCTGGTGACCTGAATTACCCTTCTTTTGCAGTGAATTTTGAAGGCAATGCACAAAATAACAGGGTGACATACAATAGAACGCTGACAAATGTTGGGAGCCCTTCGAGTACTTATGCAGTAAGCGTGGAAGAACCCAATGGAGTATCTGTGATCGTGGAGCCTAAGAGTTTAAGTTTTGAAAAATTGGGACAGAAACTGATTTACCAAGTGACTTTTGTTAATTTAGGAGGAAAAGGTAAAGAAAGTAGTTCCTCTTTTGGATCTTTAGTTTGGGCGTCAAGCAAATATAATGTTAGAAGTCCAATAGCAGTAACTTGGCAGTAGTTTTTGGTGCCATAGAATAAGAAAACTAAGTTGTTCTAGGTGCAGACTGCATACCGAGAAGAAAAATTCCAGAGACTGAAAGTTCCGAATTCAAGTCCTATGTATTGTTGAGAAGTACTAGAAAGCTCCTTTTATAGGCTAAAAAATAAAACAGAGATGCTTGACCATTAGGTGGCCTCTAATTTTTCAATGGATCAGTGCCTTTTTATTATTATTATTATTATTCTTTTCTCTACCCTTCCAAACCCCATAATTACAACACTTAGCTTCCGAATCTTTAAAGTCAAAACAAAAATAACTACTGCAGAAAATGACCTACCTTTAGTTATCCAATACGTACGTTACTTGGAATGATGGATGCATCAATTCAAAGAAACAAAGACTGAAAAACTCACCTAGACACAAATGATTACTTGCAATTTGCCAAATATATTCTCCTCCATGTTTTTACTAGCTCGAATCACTTGCCATCAGTACCTGAAATTGCTAAAGAAAAAAGAAAAATGCAAAAAGCTGCATATGGTTTATGCATAAAAAAGATCATCAATCTTCCTTTGGGGCAAAATTAACCAGTCCAAGTGACTTGGAATGTGAAATAAACAAATGTAGAGTACCTGGAAACTTTCTGGCTAATGTATCATGCATGCAAAGGCAAAAGTCCAATAGTTGAAAGTTTACAGAAGAGTACATGCTGCAGCTAAGTGCTACCATTTTTTACTTAATGCAGGTTTCGTCTTCTTTTTTTTTTTGGTGTGTGTTAACGCAAGTGCTGTTGATATTGTATTATGACTATTATCATACTCCAATGACAACATTTTTCTTGCTGCTGAAAAATCCAATAGTATCAAAACCCCACGTCTTGAATACGACTTAGATTATATCCTATTTAACTTGGATCATAAATGTAAAATTTATTAAGATCTAAAGTCGGAGATATGCACCCTTTACAGAAGTAATTGGCACAAATACAGATTCAAACGCCATCATAATGGACAACGTGGATTGTGGAAAGAGTACAGAGGTCTCAACCTTTTTTTTCCGTTGTATCAAAGTATGATATGAACCTAGCTAGAAAATAAGAAAACTAACAAATGCAGGTTCGAGAATTAGCATGATGGGCTCTCTTGGCCTTTGTCTATGAATTTATAAGGAATAGTAGTTTAAAAATGAAAGGAGGGAGAGAAAAGGAGAACGGCCTAAGAATCAAGATCTGAAGAAGAGTCAGTGGAGAACCCAGCTCTTGCACTCAATGGTCTTAGGCCGAGTGGCCACCCATCCTCCTGCAAAATGAGGTTTTGTTTTGTTTTGTTTACAGATATAAAAGGTCCTTCAGTTCCCTGTTTTTGAGCCATGAGTCAGTTTTTGTGGCTTTAAGAAAATGAAAGAGATTTAGAAACAATCTAGGCGCTCATTTGCTGTAATTTTATGTAATTCAAGACTGTTGAAAGTGGGTTGAACTTTATAATCATACCAGTTGCAAGTTAATTATCTGAATCACGACACCATGCTTTCCATTTCTTAACCGTCCATCCAAACTAGTTATTGCAATTTTCATGAACATTCGTCAATAGTGTCCTATGATGCAACTCTCAAATTAATCAGCCAAATACGCCTAGGCTGCTAGGCCCGTCCCACAACCCATCTTTCTGTAGTTTGTGGAGTCCTAGACAGCTTCGCTCAATCACTTCTATTCTCTCTAATCCAATAAAAGGCATGCACTTTCAAAGGATAAAGGAAGAGTGCAATCAGCTGTGACATTTTAATTCTATCCTATAACGGCCAAAATGAGCTCAAGCTATGCTAATTGCTTGTGTAGGATTTCAAGCTAGTCATTTTGCAGGCTAGACGTTTGTTCTTATTTTCATTTTATTCGATGGTGCTTCTCTTCTAATCATTTTTTGTTTCTGTGCATAACACATGGTTCATCTTTCAGTGCTTTTTTTTTTTTGCCAATATATTTTTCCACTGTTTTGCAATTTACAGCCACCGTGATCTTTGGGATATCTTTGTTTTTACTAGCCTTCATGGCTGCAAGAGCAAGTGCTCCTTTAATGGACAAAAAGACGTATGTAATTCAATTGGACAAAACCAAGATGTCAGCCTCGTATCAATCTCTACCCAATTCCAAGCAATGGTATGAATCAATAATTGATTCCATCACCAAATTCACATCTCAAGAACAAGAAGAAGACCTAGACACAGCACCTATTCATCTTCTTTACACCTATGAAACAGTGATTTCTGGTTTCGCTGTGAAGCTCTCTTCCAAACAAGCTGAGGCCCTGAGAAGAGTCAATGGCTTTCTCTCTGCTATACCTGATGAAATGCTAACTCTCCACACAACAAACATCCCTGATTTTCTTGGACTACGAAGTGGCAGAGGACTTCGGAATGCTCAAAACCTGGCTTCAGATGTGATATTTGGCTTTCTTGAAACTGAAATCTGGCCTGAGCTTGTTAATTTCCAAGACTCAGGCATGTGTGCAGTACCCTCGAAATGGAAAGGCACGTGTGAGAGTGGCCAAAGTTTTCACCATCAAATTGCAACAAGAAGCTGATGGTGCAAAAGCTTTCTTCAAAGGGTACGAAGTTGCTTTGGGAAGAATTAATGAAACAGATGATTATCGATCTCCTTGGGACTCGCAAGGCCATGGAACACATACTGCAGCAACTGCTCCTGGTAACCTTGTACACAATGCAAGCTTTTAGGATTGGCAAATGGTTCAGCGACTAGAATGAAATATACAGCAAGAATCGCAGCTTACAAAGTTTGCTGGTCATCAGTTATGCCACCTCCGATTTATCGGCTGCCATAGACCAACCCGTTGCTGATGGGATCGATGCGTTATCATTCTCTTTAGGGGGTTTTGCCCAGGATTTTTACGATGATAGCATAGCTATAGCCTCATATGGGGCAATCCGGAAAGGGTTTTTGTTTCTTTCTCTGCTGGAAATTCAGGTCCATACACCTACTCTGTTGCCAACACTGCACCATGGCTCATGACAGTAGCTGCTAGCTACATTGACCGAAGGTTCCCAACAACTGTCAAGCTTAGAAATGGACAAAATTTTGAAGGAGCATCCCTATATTCAGGCAAGCCAACAGCACAATTACCGTTTGCTTATGCAGAAACCGCAGGTGGCGAAGATGCTAGGTATTGAAGTAGTGGATCGCTGACTAAAGAGTGAAAGGCAAAACTGTTATTTGCGAGACGGGAATAAATGGCCAAGCAGAAAAAGGAGAGCAAGTGAAATTGGCAGGAGGAGCAGGAATGCTTTTAATCAATACGGAAACTGGAGATGAAGTATGTAAACTCAACTAACAAACCAACTGCTTCAATTGCCTTCAAAAGGACAATTTATGGCGATCCTGCTCCAATGGTGGTAGCGTTTTCATCGAGGGCCTAGTATAGTGGAAATCAAGCCGGATGTGACAGCTCCAGGAATGAATATACTAGCAGCATGGCTGCCGATAACTAGCCCAACTTATCTTAAAAGCAACTAAAGAAGTGTATTGTTCAACATAATGTCAGGCACTTCAATGTCCTGCCCGATTGTTAGTGGCCTAGCCGCACTACTTAAAGTCAGTCCACAAAGATTGGTCACCAGCAGCAATCAAATCGGTACTAGTGATAATAGCTTATGCTGTGAACAACAGAAAATCTCCAATTGCAGACGTCGCATCTGGTAACTCTGCATCTTTCTACGCCTTTTGAATTTGGTTCAGGCCATGTCAATCCTAGAGTGCTTCTGATCCAGGTTTAAAATATGATATTACAGACTATGTAAACTATTTGTGCAGCCTCAATTATACATCTCCTCAAGTAGCTCAAGTGTCCAGGAGTATAGTCAATTGTCCTGGAAATCAAGTTCTTCAGCCTGATGACCTGAATTACCCGTCTTTCTCAGTGAATTTCAAAGGCAAAGCTAAAACTAACAGTTTGACATACAGGAGAACCTTGACAAATGTTGGGAAACCTTTGAATAATTTGCTAGGAAATAAATCAAGTAAGAAAAATAGAGCAGAATGACAAGAACAATCACACAGCATAAAAATTTACATGATTTGACAACATAAAAATTTACGTGATTTGACAAGTGTGCTTACTTTAGACTACTATAGGTATTCTTATTAATGTTTTTTTAATTGGCATTACAAATACAAGAAATATTATCTATATTTATAGAGTGGATAACTAGGATTATAATAAACAAGCCTTACGAGCCTATACAACTAGCCTAAAATTATATAGAATTTTTTAGGGCTCCACCACCGAGCCCCCACAAGGGACGTGCCCCTTTGACCCCTGCTCGTTAACTAGTTAGCAAAACCACCATGTTGGCTCTGCATTGTATTAAATTGTAGGTTACATCTACATCAGGCTACGCAACTTTATGATATTTATAGAGTTAAAGTGGAGGAACTCAATGGAGTATCGGTGACCCTGAAGCATAATAGTTTTGAGTTTTGAAACATTGGGACAGAAACTGAGTATTTGGTAGTTCAGGTGGAAAAGGTAGGGAAGGTAGTCTATCTTTTTGGATCTATAGTTTGGAAAAGGTAGGGAAGGTAGTCTATCTTTTTGGATCTATAGTTTAGGTGTCAGAAAAATATAGGATTAGAAGTTCCATAGCAGTAACTTGGCAGTAGTTTGGGCCTGCAGAATAAGAAACTAAGCTGTTTTAGGTGCAGACTGCAGACCTTTGAAAATTACTTGGCAGCTTCTTTCATATCCTAAAAAATAAAACAAAGACGCTTGACCATAAGTTAGGCTCCAATTTTCCAATGAATCGTTCCTGTTTTTCTTTTCTAAGACTCTTTCAAACCCCATACCTGTACCACTTGGCTTCTGAATCTTCTAAGTCAAAACAAAAATAACTACTACAGAAAATGACCAAACTGCAGTACTTTATTCAATTTGACCAGCAAAAAAAAAAAAAAATTGATTAATACATCAATGCATGGAAACAAAGACAATTAAAACTCGCCTAGAACTTTTCCGAGAGTTTCTAAAAACTTCCAGGTAATAGTAGGCAAAAGCAAAAGTCTAGCAGTTTAAGATTTCCCAAAAAAAAAAACACAGAAAAAAAGAAGAGTATTAATAGGTCAATTTATTTTTATATTGTTAATTGAATCAATTGTATTTTTAAATATGTATTAAGTATATAATCTATACTTCTAGCAAGATTTTTAATTTATATTATCAAAATTAATCATATGATTTGTGTATAAAAACTTTATATTTGATTGGTTTGTAAGGATATTTTAAACATAAAAATTACTCATATGTAAATAAAGTGAATAATTTAGATGGTTTGACTTAAATTTTTTTTAAAATAATAAATTGAAAACTTGATGTATGTTTAATGATAAACTGACTCAATTAAGAGTATAAGAACAGATTGAAAATCACTTTGTATAGATTTAGCTATTAACTCAAAAAAAAAAAAAAAAAGGCGTTCTTAGTTTCTCAGGTTAAAGAATAAAGAAAAAAAAATTTCACCGCAAAATGTTGTAAATTACTCCACTTTTGGTTACAAAAAAATTGGTAAAATTGCTATTCTTCTGAAAATTATAATTTGTGAGTGAAATAAAATACTTACTTTCTTCTTCCAAAATGAAATTGTCCTTTAACACGTGTGACAGTTAAACTTTTTGAAAACTCCAAATTTGATACTGGAAAAGAAAAGGAGTTCCTCCAAAGAAAAGAAACCACAGAACTATGCGGCTCAGATGAACTCATTTATTTGCCATCAAGTTTCCACGGACAGAATGGAAAAGCCAATAACTGTCGATTACCTCAACTCCATTTGACGAAGCAAGGAAAAAGGACGTGCTGCACTGCCTGCTGCCATCTTTTATTTCTAGTGTTTGACGGAAGTTTCCTTCCTTTTTTTAATGGGTCCAATGGTCGAGAAGTTCCTTTTTTATTATTATTATTATTATTTACGTTTTATTTATATCTTGAATGTTTGATAATCTAATTAAATAACTTAAAAAATTAAGTTGTACTACTTAATATAAAAATCTTTTTTGATAACTTAAATGATCTCATATTAAAACTTTAAGTTCAATTAAAATTTACTTAACCGGATAAGTTAAAATTTTTAACTTATCTAATTAAATCAAACTATCTAAAACATACTCTCTCTCTCTCTCTCTCTCTCTCTCTCTCTCTCTCTCTCTCTCTCTCTCTCTCTCTCTCTCATATATATATATATATATATATATATATATATATTGAAAAATAAAATACTCATTTGAAAAGCATAAAAATAATTCATTATATAAATTATAATAATATATTTTTAAAAAATAAAACATCGACATTATAAAATTTTATTCTAAAATTTATATATTAAAAACTCAAATTTATTAACAAATAAAATGATATCAAAAATTAATTTGATGAGAATTTTAGTAAGAAAAAAATAATTGAAAAAAATAAATTTTAAACAATAAGAGTAATATAATCGGATATATATGTTCAAACTAAAATCTTAAAAATTATCATATATATTCTATCATCTTCAAACATACTTATTATATTCGAGTACTTAATTTTCGGTAAATACCAAACGAACTTGTCGAGAACATATCCAAGTACTTAACGGATTCAGCACTTAAAATACAATACTTAATAAATTCAGCACTTAATTTTCAGTTTTCCTATTAACTCTTAAACAAACAATATTAATTTTTTTTATTTTCTTAATTTCATCCCTCTACTCTATTTTTTCATCTTAATTTTATCTTTTTTATAGAATTTAAATAAATTAATTTTATAAAATTAAAAAAAAAACTGAAAATGTTAAGATATATCTAATTATTCCCTTTAAAAATTAAAAAAAATGAAAAAAGGAAGATAAAAATGTTTTTTTTCATCCAAAATATCATTTACGAGTTTAGATTTGTCTATGTCATAGTAAGCAAATTTTATAAATAAATTAAAATATTTATAGTATTTTTTTTAAATGTGCCTCTATGATAGCAAGGAAATATTGAATATAAAATAAAATATTTATAATATCTTTTTTAAATACAAAGAGAGTTTTGATTAAATTTTTAAATTTGAAAGATGTTTATAATTTTATTACATCTCAAATGAATCTATTATAATTTATTTATTTTAATTTTATAAATTTCTTAATTTAACTTAAAAGTGAAAATATGAATTTTTGTTAGTATTAAAAATACTATAAATATTTTATTTTATTTTTAAAAATTGCTTATTATCATAAAGATAAACTTAAACACATAGAGGATATTTTGGATGAAAAAATATTTTTAACTTGTCTTCTTGTTTTTCAATTTTTAGATAGAATAAAAAAATGTTTTTACTTTATTTATTTATTTATTTATTTACATTTGATAACAAAAAAAGAAGATTAAAACAGAAAAATAAAATAGATAGATGGGATTAAAAAAAAAAAAAAACTTAACACCATTAGTCCAAAAGTTTTTTTTTTTTTTTTTTAAAAAAAAGATTAAGATAGAAACTAAATATAAATGGATAAATTTAAAATGAAAAGGAGTGGAGAGACGTGATAAACATAAAATATATACAAAAATTTTTTGCAACCATTAATCCTTTTTTTAACGCAAGAATTGTTTCAACATTAGTATCAGTATTACGATGCACCAACGAAACTTGCTGTTGAATCCTCCAAATGTAGCTAAGTCCTAGATGATGAATTTAACTTCGATCACAACCTTTTAACTTGGATCATATTCTTGTTTTCTTGCATGATAACATGTAACAATTTATATTATAACCTGGTCCCTCTATTTTTAACAAATTAATACATTAGTCTCTTTGGTTCCAGGCCCAATCAGAGGATTAAACTTATGATTTCGACATTAAATGGACTAACTTATTGTAGTTTCTTACAAACCAGGATTAACTTATAATTTACTCTAAGCTTACCAAAAATTCAAAGTACATTAACGTGCTCCGGTAGAAGTCATAAACAAATATATAAAAAAAAAAATTCCCATAAAATATTTTTAAAATTAAAAAAAAAATATCTGGTGGGTTTGCTAACGTAACATTGTCCAATATAAATTTCCAACGTGAAATTGAAAAGTACCAAATCTTCTCTCTGATTTGGATCGTTACCTAAAAAATGGACAGCTTTCTCGTAACCCGAAAACGCCGGTAATTGTCTGTAAAGTACACGTGTCTACAAGAACCAGATTACCGACAAAACGTTTTTTTTTTAGCGCTTCCAGTTCCCGTCTTTCTTTCTCGCTCTTCTGATTCATTGAAGGTTGCAAGAAATTGACTTTCATTAGCTTCACGTCAATTCTAAAGAGGTAATTCCTTCTCTCCTTTTGGCCTTATTATTCCTTAAAAGTTTTAGAGTTTCTCCCTTCCCTTTTCTTGTTCAGGGAATTTTTATGAATCTGATCAAGAAAAGGGGAAAAGATTGAATCTTTGAGATCTTTTTTTGGATGTTGTGGTTAAATTTATGAGCAATCTTTCCTATTTTTAAAGAATCACAAAAGTACTTTCTTTTGATGTTTGATTGTTGAGAAAATGGATAATAATCATGGTTCTTCATATCCTTATAACTATCCATATCCATACCCTCACCATTCAGCTCCTCCAAATTATGGGTATCCACCCTCGGATCCTTACTACCCTTCTCAACCCTACCCTTATGGACCATATCCTCCTTATGGTGCTTATCACTATCCTCCTCCACCACCATCATCATACACAGAACCACCACCACATTCAACAACCCATTCAGGCCCTTTAGATTATTCTCACCAAAAACCTTCAGCGCCATATCCAACAGTCCATTCGGGGACTTTAGACTATTCATATGAGCCTTCAAATCCACAACCATCAAGCCATTCAGGTCCATTAGACTATTATCACAACCAACCACCATCACCGCATCCAACGACGAATTCAGGACCTTTAGGTTTTAATCGCCACAATTCTGGTCCTTTAACTTATTCATCACCATACGCTGCATATCCACCAGCACCACATGTTTCAAATTCAATCCTTCAAAACAGTGGAAGTTTTCAAAATTACCCTTCTGTTCAACCTCAATCAAGCCAATATCCTTCTCCTGATAGCATTTCACAAACACCTTCTAGGGATAATAGCTTTTCCGATCATCATAGACAAGATAGTTCTTCATCTTTAGGAATTGGATCATCATCATCAAATCCTGATAAAGTTGATGCTGCTGTTGCTGGTACTTCTTCTGCATATCCACCTTTGGATGATTTAGTAAGTAATTTGCATTTGAATGATAAGAATAATCATCCCACCGCTCCTGCATCCCCACCAGCACCTCCAGTGCCTCCAGCGCCTCATTCCCTTCAAAGCTATCAGGGCTCTAGTCTTGGATATGGTCCCCCGCATGAATTCTATGGTTTTCCCAATGACTCATTTTCAAGTAATTGGGAGGAAAATTATGCGGACAGAGTTGACTCGTATGGTCACTATCATGCTTCTCCTTCTGCACATTCACCCTCCTTGGATGGATCAAAGCATGGCCAGGGTATGGAGATTATGCCAGTGTCGGGTGGTAAAGGGTCTTTGAGAGTTTTGCTTTTACATGGGAATTTGGATATTTGTGTTTATGATGCAAAGAATCTCCCAAACATGGACATGTTCCATAAGACTTTGGGTGATATGTTCAATAAATTACCTGGAAGTATAAGTAGCAAGATTGAAGGACAAGTGTACACCAAGATTACCAGTGATCCTTATGTTTCGATTTCAGTGGCTCGTGCTGTGATTGGGAGGACTTTTGTGATTAGCAATAGTGAGAATCCTGTATGGATGCAACATTTTTATGTTCCAGTCGCACACTATGCTGCAGAAGTGTATTTTGTTGTTAAAGACAGTGATGTTGTGGGTTCGCAGTTGATAGGAGTTGTGGCAATTCCATCTGAACAGATATGTTCGGGGGAAAGGATTGAGGGAGTTTACCCTGTTATGAATAACAATGGAAAACAATGTAAGCCTGGTGCTGCTTTGAGAATTTCAATTCAGTACATACCCATGGAGAAACTAAGTATTTATCACCATGGTGTTGGTGCTGGTCCCGATTATCATGGTGTGCCAGGCACCTATTTTCCTCTTAGAAAAGGTGGAACAGTTACTCTTTATCAAGATGCCCATGTTCCGGATGGATGCCTTCCAAATTGGCAACTTGATAACGGGATGCATTATCTGCATGGAAAGTGCTGGCAAGATATCTTTGATGCTATAAGGAAAGCTCGACGCTTAATTTACATTACTGGGTGGTCTGTGTGGCACAAAGTTACTCTGGTTCGGGATGGTGGTCAGCATTCTGGTGTCAGCCTTGGGGATCTTCTGAGGTCCAAGTCGCAAGAGGGTGTACGAGTGCTGCTGCTTGTTTGGGATGATCCTACTTCTAGGAATGTCTTGGGATATAAAACAGTGAGAATCTTACCTATATTTAATTGTTTAATGGCAATTTTCTATTGTAGTCTGTGGTCAAATACATTTTCTTGGAACTTCTACTTCTCATTGTTACAATCCTTTGCAAAATGTGGGCCTATATGTGATTAGTTTGTAAATCTGGTTTATGCTTGTGTCTTTGATTACTATTGCTACTATCAAAACTGTTGCTTTTGTTGTTTGTTGTATCTTCTTGCATTTGTTATGATATGTACTTGCTGTCTGGGCTCTTGAGTAGAGCATAAGCGCTCCACCTAATGATCCGTGATTTCAAGGAAATTCCATGTTAAATCATCTAACTGTACTTCTTAAATTATGCTACCTGTTGTTATGTACTTTCAATTTCAACTGGAAAGCTTCTTAACTCTTCCACTAAAACTTTGTACAATGCAGGATGGAATTATGGCAACCCATGATGAGGAAACTCGTCGTTTTTTCAAACATTCATCTGTTCAAGTGCTACTTTGTCCTCGCATTGCTGGGAAAAAACATAGCTGGGTCAAGCAAAGGGTTGGTTATCCCAAAATTCTGCTGTTCTTTGAGCTGTGTTATTGCTTAAAGTGTCTCTAGTGCCTAGCGAATGGCAAACATCCTTGATATGTTGAGCCTGTCAGTTTACCTACCTTGACAAAAGCATTTATTATAATTGGTCATCAAGTTAAGTGCTAAAAGAATCAAGTCTCTGACATATAATTCATTTGTCACAGAATGTAATTGTGAAGTATGATCCTTCACGGAATTGAGCTTACTTTGGGCCAACAGCCCTGCTATGATTAATTCAGTATGACAAGCTCATCTTTGCTCTCTTTTTTGGCAATAGTAGTTAGGAAATTTGTTGTGTGATATTCTTTCTCCTTGCTGCTCCTCCATGGTGTTAAAAGGAATTTGTGAGATCTATTGCATCATGTTACCTTTCCTCCTTTTTATTTTATTTTTTTTTGCACAATAAGGTGAAGCAAGAGACTTTATGTCAATCATTGATACCTGAGAGCTTTCTTTCTCATTCCAGCAAGTTTTCTTTTCTTATTTTTTTTGTAGCATTGGAGTGAAAATCTTTACTGAATTTCCTCCTACTGTTTCAAATTATCAGGAGGTTGGAACAATTTATACACATCATCAGAAAACTGTAATTGTAGATGCTGATGCTGGCAATAATAGAAGAAAAATCATAGCTTTTGTTGGTGGACTTGATTTATGTGATGGTCGATATGATACTCCAGATCATCCTCTATTTAGGACGCTACATACTGTGCACAAAGATGACTATCACAACCCTACTTTCACTGTAAGTCTTGAATTTTACCTCTGCAGTTGCACACTTGTGATTGGCTATATGATTCAGTTGTAGAAGTACCATTTGGCATGTTATTGGTGATATAAAAGATAAGCAGACATGATCTTGTTGCTTAGAGTTGAGTTTTAGAAGCAATGAAATGAATTTCTTCTTTCCTTAATTGTGTGGTTGTTACTGAGCAGGGTAGTGTCACAAATTGCCCCAGAGAACCATGGCATGACTTGCACAGCAGAATAGATGGCCCAGCAGCATATGATGTTCTAACTAACTTTGAGGAGCGTTGGATGAAGACTGCAAAACCGAAGGGGATTAAAAAACTAAAAACATCATATGATGATGCTTTACTCAGGATAGACAGAATTCCAGACATTGTAGGTGTTTTTGATACTCCTTCCGTTAGTGAGGATGATCCTGAAGCTTGGCATGTTCAGGTAACTTGTCCATGCCTTTACTCAAGTGATCATGCATTGAGGAGGAGGAGGGGTTGTTTTGGTCTTAGATCTGAATATAGTTTTGCTGTAATGAAACATGGGGCTTAGCTTGCAAATGAAATTGCATTTAACTTTTTCTTTTCTGAACCACAGATTTTTCGATCAATTGATTCAAACTCTGTGAAAGACTTCCCAAAGGATCCAAAGGATGCCACGAAAAAGGTGAGATGGTAATTATTATTATTATTTCTCCCAAGTAAAACTCAAGGCAAGAGAATATTTAGCAATCGGCTGCCTTCTGTTTCTCTTTTGAGCCTGTTCAAGCTTGAGTGTGGTTGTGTTCGTGTCTACATGTGGAAGTTGACGAACTATTCTGCTGTAACAGAATCTGGTGTGTGGAAAGAATGTACTTATTGACATGAGCATACATACAGCATATGTGAAGGCCATCCGTGCTGCTCAGCATTTTATTTACATAGAGAACCAGTATTTCATTGGGTCCTCATACAACTGGAGTTCATATAAAGATTTAGGTGAGGAACCTCTTTTTTATTTTATGAAAAAATCATGCTAAGCCATGCTGCTTTCTAGTCAATATGGAAACCACGAGCTTTGATGTTTTAGAAACAATGATCGTAGTCAGTTTTGATGGTGAAAAGATGTAAAGGTACCTGAATTCCTCTCCCTTTATTTAGCAATGAGTCATTCTTCTTTAACCAAAATGCTGCAAAAGAGTTGGGCATACAGGTAGCTTTATCAGTTGTGAAGGATCGAGAAATTGAAGGTACTAAAAAACTTTAAGTGGAGGTTGCTGATGAAGTTACTTGCAAGAGAGTATCTAGCACAACTAAGAAACGGAGCAGCAAAAAGAATTAAAGAAAATACGAATAGTGGAAGTCTTAACTTTGATTAAACAATGCTGAAAGAGGATAGAGGAATTAAAAAGCTCCACAACAATATCTAAACAGAGATCTCAATCAAATGAAAAACCAAGAGAAAGGGAGCAACTAAATGAGGAATAACAGAACAATTAGGGAATACACAGCAAGAGAGGCAAACTCTACGACAGGCCAGCCACTTGATGATTCTTCTAGTCTTTTTCTGCATCTTCCATGTTAGCAATTGTGATGGTGGATCTATGGCAGTAGCTACCCCTCTCAAAACCTGCACTGTCAACACCCTCACTCCTGAAGTGAATACTGCTGAATATGCTCTGCCTTTTTTTTTTTTTTTGTCTTCTAATTCAAATTATTGAAAATTAGTTGCTTATCCTGGATCCTTCCTGTCACTGTGCCAGAAGAAAAGTTCTACATTTTATCCTTTAATTGGGTGTCCTGTACAATTTAAAGGTTAATAATGACCTTTTTGCACTGTTTATGGAGTACAATGTGGTGTTAGTAGATTTCTCACATGCTACTTTTTCACAACAAAAATTGCCTATGTCTGAAACGCCCCTTCATCAATTTTCATTTGAATTGTTCTTTTCTAGATGGAACGCTGCTGTAAAAAGCTGTTTTCTATATTTCCGGAAAAAAAAATCTATTAAGATGCCAAACCGTTGTCCTGTTGCCTTCTTGCAGGGGCTAATAATTTGATTCCTATGGAAATCGCACTAAAGATTGCTGAGAAAATCAAAGCGAATGAGAGATTTGCTGCCTACATTGTTGTTCCAATGTGGCCAGAGGGTGTTCCAACTGGTGCTGCTACGCAAAGGATTTTATATTGGCAGGTAGGCTTAACTACAGATCTGTTAGTTGAAACTTATGTTTGGCCATTTGCCCTTTTCTTGTACTTTACAATTCAGCATGATTACTTTGTTTAAAAAAATATCTGAAGTGGTAAAAATTTATGGATAGTGATAATAGTTTTTACCTGGTTCTAGTTCACAAGTTGAGATGTTCTTTTCTTTTTTAAAAGGAAAGATGACAAGCAAGTGATATCGATGATAAAATACTATTCCCTTTGTAAAAACAGAAAATCTTTATAGAGAAACCCAGTTTGTAAAAAATCTGTTGTTAACATCTATTTAGGGGATTGCATCATGTTATTGGTGTAGAACATGACCTACAAAATCTATAAACAAACCTACTCTAACATTTTGTTGGTTATAAATTGTAAACAACTTACATCAGAGTGAATTTGTGTAATTTTTTCTCCTGTCTCTATTTTTTCTACTTGCTAGCTATTAGCATCATCCAATAAAATATTAACTAGCTAATTTGTGTAATTTCTCTATCTGTCTCTATTTTTTCTGCTTGCTAGCTATTAGCATCATCCAGTAAAAATATTAACTAGCTTACCTTCTTGTCTTATCATATTTAACTCCTTCCAGTTTCTAGACCCAAGAACTGGACAGCCAAATAGAACTAAGATTTGTCAATCAATAGAAAATGTTTGCACTATATGTTGGTACTACGTTTTGTTAATCTGGGAATGTTGATAATTGCTGCAGCATAAAACTATGCAAATGATGTATGAGACAATTTACAAGGCTCTAGTGGAGGTTGGACTTGAGGAAGCATTCTCACCGGAGGATTTTTTGAACTTCTTCTGTCTTGGTAATCGTGAATCCATAGATGGATTTAGTACTTCAGGCATGTCAAGTCCCTCAAGTTCACACATTCCTCAGGTATCTTCATTCTTGAATTCAGTTGTTTCATTCATGCAATGTACTTTGAAGTACTTGATTGTTTGGAAATGAGAAACCTACTGGTACAAAATGACGTCTTTTATAAATCCTATTATCCTACTGGTGTGAAAATTTTAATTTCGCACTTAGATACCTTACCTCTATATTTATACATGAGATGGCTTCCAACGCACAGCATGAGAATTTGCAGCAATTTGATTATTTGGTTTCCGTTGCTTTTATTTCCTTATTTGCTTCTGTATGAGCAGGGTCAGATGTTGGTTCATTTGAGACCATTTAAAATTTTCAGATTCTCTACTTCCTTCTCTCTCTTGAATAATGTGCTGTATTGTGGCATTTCCAGGCATTTAGTCAGAAAAGCCGGCGGTTCATGATTTATGTTCATTCAAAAGGGATGATAGTTGATGATGAGTATGTAATACTGGGATCTGCAAACATAAATCAGCGGTCGATGGATGGCACTAGAGACACTGAGATTGCAATGGGAGCCTACCAACCTCAACATACCTGGGCAAGAAAACAATCTAATCCACTTGGACAGGTAACCTTCAGTTAGATAATACGAAAACCACATTTGTTTGTCACAATCGAAAACAGAAACTCAATTTTTTATTATTGATTCACCAGGAAAAGGAGTTCCTTCTGGAAAAATGAAGGAGAATTACATAAAATAGCACAAAAAAAAAAAAAAAAAAAAGAAGAATAATAATGATCCAATGGCATTATGGTGAAACACAGTATTGAAATAGGGAAGCAATGTCCTCAGTTGCATAAAAACTAAACAGGAATTATGATGCTTGAAGATTTGTTTTTTTTTTCTGCTTATTTTGCACGAACAAATTAAATGTGCCAAAAAAAAAAAAATCTAAAAATTAATATAGGAAGGAAATTTTTTTGGAAAGATAATGTGAATTAGAAAATATCAAAGCATATGGACTCTTATGCTGCTCGACTGTAGAACCAGTGTTTTATGTTAGTCTTTCTTGTCAACAATGACAGTTGTACTTGAAAAGATGACATGAAAGATGGATGCCTCCGGATGCAGTTCACAACCCACATGAGAAAATTGGTGTCGTTGCCAAGAAAGATTAGTCCCAAAACAATAATGAATTGGTTTTAGATTTCTCTGGAATTTACAGAAGCATGTTTACATTGCTCAACTTATTTTAATATATTCAAAAGAACACTCATTTTATTTGGTATTTAAAATGCTGAAACTTCTTGTATTTACTGACTGACTTGCTGTTTCTTGAACAATATGCTTCTTTTATAGATCCATGGATATCGGATGTCTCTCTGGGCAGAGCATACTGGAGTTACTGAGGACTGGTTTACAAGGCCAGAGAGTCTTGAATGCGTTCGGAAGATTAGAACAATGGGGGAGATGAATTGGAAACAATTTGCTGCTGAGGAGATAACGGAGATGAGAGGGCACCTGCTAAAGTACCCTGTTGAAGTTGATCGAAAGGGAAAGGTGAGGCCTATTCCTGGATCTGAAACTTTCCCAGACGTGGGAGGAAATATAACAGGTTCGTTTCTCGCAATTCAGGAGAATCTGACTATCTAATTAAAATGTTTAACGTCCAGTTTCCACTGGCTATCAGATAAAAAAAAAGGATGAATATACATACATGATAGTGATTCAAGTACACAGTTTTGAAATACACACATCTTTACTTATTAAAAAGCCACTGATATTGTATGTTCACCCTCACTCTGTCATGGGGGCATTTAACATGATAAATTTCACAAAACCCCGGATATGGAAGGATATCACTGTACATCTTCAAGAAAATAATTCTTTCATGTGCCAAAGTCTCAATTGAGAATGAAGAGCTTGTTTTTTGTATAGTTATGTAAATACAACTGCTACACAAGGATTTTCCCTTGAATGTTTCACTTTTGGAGTTTTTTATTTTTTTTTGAATCACTTTCTTATGTTTGTGATTGCTATTTTTCAATGAGCAAGCATGCATTGGAAACCTTCAGATTTCACTAGTGCATTTATTGCCAATCCTCTTTTCCTTCATCTCCCACTTGACTTTTACAACGGAAGCAATCAGACATTATAATCTGACACTCCACGTGTTTTTCTTTTTTTCTTTGAAGTCAATAGTCACTAAGATTTTACAATTTTATGAAACAATGTAGTGCAACCTCTTAAGAAAGGCAACTTAATTGCGCAAATGAGCTCTGGTACTGAAATCTTTTGACAGAAACATTAAGATAACAAGAAATAAAATTGTGCAGAATACATTTCAATGCTTATGAGGTTTCCTAGCTCGTATTTCATCATACTCCTGAGATTTAGGAAAAGACTGTCAGATCATATTCTGATAATGAAAATCCAAATCCTTCAAAATGGATTCCATAACCTTGGGAAGTAGGTTTCGCAGTCCTTGCATAAACCGAAGGTAGCTTGCATATACAATGGTTTCTTTCACAGCCCCAAAATCCAGAAAGCGGTAGCGTCCTGTTCATTCTATACAGACAAAAACCTGAAAAAAATATATTTGTATGATCATTGCATACAGAACCTTCACCTCAAACAGTAATTATACATATTCATGGAAATACTATAAGCTGATGCAGTAGTATTAACAAAGTGCTCAATTGATATTCAGAAAAGGAGGCCAAATTGGTAAATCTAATTGGCCAAGACAGCTCATCATGATCGATTAACAAGCTCTGCATACTGCGTCTTTCGATCCACCCCCATTGTGAGGCTAAGTCCAGCAAGTGCAGGCATATTGGCTGACCGTTGAAGCCCCGATTCAGCTGGCACATGCTAGTTTTCTGAATTCCCTTTTAGTAAGTTCCTTATAGTCATACTGTATGCCCCACTCCCCTAAATATGGGTTATCTTAGTGTGCAACGCACTATCACGGAATCCCATTCTTTTGCCTACCATCTCGTTAGGGATGGCAATCTGATCTGTCCTAACAGGATCCCATCCCGTCTCATCTCGCCTTACCCCATTTTATTTGAGACGAAGATGGTACCTAAAATACGTTCTAAACGAGACACGGGACATGGATGGCCATCCTTGCCCGTCCCATCTTTTTACTTTTAAAAAGGGAATTAGACGAGGCCTCGTACTCGCCTCGTTTGGAGCAAAGATGATAGAGAAATTATGTCCCGAATAGGGCACAAGGGCACAGGCCAGGGACGGGGATTGCCATCCCTGCCTCGTCCCATTGCGATCCCTACATCTTGTGCGTGCTTTCTTCAGGGAAGGCAATTGTCAATGACAGCAACTATGTCTCTCCGGAATCCTTTGTAAGTACATAATTTAGGATTGTAAGCAGTAGTTTTTTCTATGCTATCAGCCTGCCTCATGGCTTTCTTGATTTTTGCTGTAGTCTCAAGGTCATGAAGCAAACCAAAAGGCAATTCAAGAAATCCAGGGTACAAAAGGGTATCAACATCCACCGAATCCTCGTCTACGTCATCCCGACCATGCATGGCACATTTTAGTAATGTGCTCAAGGATGTGGGTGTTTGAACAATGTTCACTTACTCATAAATCACTATTCATTTTATTTTTTATTTTTTTATCCTCATATTTCTATTCGCTCTTAGGGTACATTATACTATCATTCTTAGTTTTTTATTTTTTTGTAATTTTTACTTTTAGTTTTTTTTTTCTTGGGGTTTTTTTTTTAGTTTTCAAATTATTTTGTTTTGATTTTTTTTTTTTTAGTTTTCACTCATTTTTTTTTCCTTAGTTTTTTTTTATATATATAATTTTCAAATTATTTCATTTTGATTTCTAAAATTTTAAAATAAAAATATTAATCCCTAGCTAATGCATTACATGTTTTTTTTTCTTTGGTTTTTTATTTTTACTTTTTGACATCAATTTATGTTTGTTTTATTTAATTAGATGTTAAAATTTTAAAAAAATCGATCATTATTTTTTTCCACGTAAGCTGATGATTATATATATATAGAGAGAGAGAGAGATCAAATGTATATACTTTAAAAATCACTCCCTCACAATGAACTATCCATTCCTTTTTTTTTTTTTTGGGTACCCTCACAGTGTACTATTCACTATTAGGTTTTTTTTTTTGGTAATTTTCACTCAGCTTTTTTCTTTTTTTATAATTTTCAAATTATTTTGTTTTTATTCCTAAAATTTTAAAATAAAAATTTTAATTCTTAGCTAATGCACTATATGTCTTTTTTTCTTTGCTTCTTTCCATCAATATATGTTCTTTTTTTATTTGATTGGGTGTTAAAAATTTTAAAAATCAATTGTTGCTTTTTTTCACATAAACTAATGATTATATATTTATATATATCAATGGTATATCTTTAAAAAAAAAACATCTTTTCATCAACATCAAATAAGAATAAAATTTTATTTTTTTATTGTTAATTTTTATATAAGTCTATACATTAATTGGAACTTTATTTTTTTCGATATATTCTTATAAAACAATATATTTTTAAAGTATTTGTTTTTATAGCAACATTGTTCTCCTCCTTACAATGTATTATTCACTCCTTTTTTTTTTTGTAATTTTCAAATTATTTTGTTTTGATCCTCGAAATTTTAAAATAAAAATTTCAATTCCTAGTTGATGCAGTACATGCCTTTTTTTCTTTGATTTTTTCCTTTAATTTTTTCCATCAATGTATATTCTTTTTTTATTTAATTGGGTGTGAAAATTTTTAAAAATCAATTTTTTTTTCACACAAACCGATGATTATATAATATATATAGATCAAATATATATTTTTTAAAAAAAAATCTTCTCATCAACATTAAATAAGAATAAAATTTTATTTTTTCTTTAATTAATTTTTATACAAGTCTATATATTAATTGTAATTTTATTTTTTGGAATACAATATTATGAAAAATATATTTTTAAATTTTTTTTAATTCTTAATTAATATTTTAGTTAAAATCAATCTATAGAGAAGAATGATTTACGTTTTTTAAAATAAAAAAATTAAAAAAAATTATACTTAAAAGAGATTTTAAATTTTAAAATAACTTTTTTTATCAAATCTACGTCATAGCACGGGCAACTGATTAGTGTCTTCTAAATTGGTAAGCAAGTATCCGAGGACATCAACCACAGCAGATCCTGTAGGGAGCCCAGTTTCGCCCCCTGAAGCGAAGTCAATGGAATCGACAGATTTCTTTAAAATTCCGAAGACAGACAAAGCAAAATCATGTGGAATAGTGATCTCTCTAAGTCGATCGCTCAAAATCTTTGATAACACATTCAAAAGATATGTTTGCTCTGTCGAAAACGGATTTTCACTTGAATCAACTTCCCCTCCGTTTTCAGAATTACCAACATAATGTGATTTCGAGAAGAGTCGAGGAAAATGAATTTCATCCAAACAAATCCTGGAGAGAAGCAACTTCAGCCAACCTACTTTAAAACCAACAGGTAAAACAGCAACCAAGAAACAATCATAAATATATAATTCAAACAGAAGGTGATAAGACAATAGAACACTTGAATAACTACAAGCATAATTGTGCAGAGCAGAACAATAAAAAAAAATAACTAAATAGGCAACCCTTGATCCCACAAAGCTCAGAATTAATTCAGGGCTTCCATCACAGCAAGCATAAATTATCACACATAGAGGATCACGAGTCTTGCAACTCCGGACTTTTGCAATCATAGAAAAAACATGGCGAAACAATCCACCCCAAATAGCTTGCTGCTGTTCTTTCCCAGCGAAAGAAACATTCGCCAAAACCTGTAATCCCAGAAGAATAATCCACAATCTGTATCAGAACAACTGCCAACCCTTTTATACCTCAAAATAGTGGAAACAAGCAGAACTCCGTTTGATTCATAAACGACTTCTCATTGACAAATTCTCGTGCGCATAGGTTTCTCTGGAGTTTTAGAAAGAGCACAGCATATTCATGGCAGGAAGGGTAACGTAGAGATTGAATGATAAGCTGAGGGACAACAGATAGAAGATTATCACCAATTTTGAAAAAATCTATGTATTTGATTAAAAAAAAAGTTGTGTTGGTCATTAATCAACGTGGAATTTAGAAGAATCCAAACCTATTTATTGCTGATAAGGTTCTTATCAAATATTTTTTTGAGATAAATCTTCACGACTTTAATGATACTAAAATTAAAAAAGAAAAAAAATCCACTTTGTTATTGCAATATTATTTATTTCATCAATATATGTAACTTTTCTCATCCTCGTTTTTATTACTTCATTAAACTTTCACATAAATTACTTCCATATATTTCTTCAATGACATTTGTCCCTTCCATCACATATTTCATGTTTGCGTTATTTAGTTCCTGCACACATATTTCTCACTTGTTAAAGTAGTGTAAAAAATATAAAAATAACATTATTTTTTGGTTTGAACCGAAATTGAAATTTAAAAACGCAACCCAAACTTTTTGAAACCAAATTTAATTAAAAATCAAATCAAATCAAATTGGTATTTTAATTTCAGTTTGGTTATTCAATTTTAATTTAATAGTGCTCGTCTCTAATTATCATAGATCTCAAAGTTTTCAACAAGTTCATTAATTAACTTTGTGGTTTTTTGTTATATTTTTTTTCAAGACCGAATTGAAAAAAGGTAGCAAAATAATTCTCTCACAATAAGAAATTTGTATGGGTGGTAAAAAAATAAATAGATAGATTCTTGTGTGCAAGGCCATTGTTCTGGAATTGGAAAATAGCAATTCATTGTCTGCAAGTTGTAGTGAAAATCACTCATGTTACTAAGAAACTAAATACCGAAACAGAAAAAAGAAAACGCAATAAAATCTCTTTCTTCCCACATTTCAAAAACACACAAAAGCAACAAAAAGATTCATTAACTAAACAGATAGCCCACAAACTAAATCACACACAAGTTTTCTATCCCATAAACAGCTAGACATTATCAAAAACACACAAACAATAAAATCCCTAGCTTTCCTTTTGCTAAAGAGACATGGAACCAGAGAAGAGAGAACTGAGTCTTACCTCCAAGAAGCTAGGAGAGCCCGGATGATGAAGGTACAGGCTGCTGCTGCGGCGTGACGGGAACAAGAAAGAAGTAATAGGGAGCCCTATTGGGTTAAAACTGGAAAATCAAACCGAATCAAATCAAAATGTCAACTTTGGTTTGGTTACAACTCAATTTTTTTTTTAAAAAAAAAAAAAAACCGAACTGAGTTTATTTTGGTGTTTCCATTTCGTTTCAGTTTTTGATTTATTATTTTTTTTAGTTTTCACAAAAAAAAAATAATTTTTTAAAAATATATTTGAACTGTTGTTGATTGTTATTTGAATTTTGATGGTTTGATTTACAAAATATTTGAATAATTAATATTTTTTTATCATTGTATATTTTATATGTGGATCAATGGACTCATATTTAAATTTTATATATTATGTCAAATAGTTTTGTGTTTCGTTCTTGATTAAACAAATATTTAGTATCTTTTATATAGGTTAATTTAGACCATGTGTTAAAAAAAATGATTTCATAGTCCACAACACAAAATTTTTTAACTTATTCACATTATTTAAAAAATTAAAAAATATATATATTTGAAAAAAATTAATATATTCGGTTTTTACTGAAATACCGAATGGCAATTCAATTTTTTTTTTTTTGGTGAGTTGGATTGACCAAAAACTAAGTAGAAATATTAAAAACTGAAACCAAAAATTGAATCCTCATTCCTAGGAAGAAGGGAGTATTCTTGAGATATACAAGCTTTCTAATTTTTCTGCCCGAGACTCTTGTTTTATTTCAACAACTTCATGGACCCCATTACTAATTTTTCCGGTGTCAAAATAGCAGGTCTACTATTTTATTTATTTATTGTTTCAAATAAATTATCTCATTTGATTTTTCATATTCGTTAAGAATGTCATAAATTGGTATATCATGTAATAATTTTTTATTTGTACCCTTTAAAAATGTCTCTCTTTTTTTTTAATTATACGTCCTTTACAAATGAGTTTTGATTGGGGACATGGTAGTAAAATGCACGACTTAAATATTTTGACCAAATAATTATTTTGGAACAAACAAAATGGACGATCTTTTTATAAATCAATTTTGTAGATTTGACTTGTGACATTGTAGCATAATATTGTGAAATGTTTGCGCACAATCATGCAATATTTGATATAAAAAAAATGTTTATTATATATGTGATTAATTCATATATATAATTCCTTCTGTGAGGAGATGAAATACTGTTTTTATGACTTAGAACATAGTCCTTAAAAAGGTAAAAATTATCGTAGGATTGCAGGTTTTCTAACAAATCTGAACGCAGCAAGTCTAAATAAATAAAACTAATGAAGCCATCTTGTACATACAAAGACTGTTCAAATAGAACACACACATTAGTATTGAATTTAGCCATGAAAACTAAATTCAGGAGTAAATTCCAATGACTTATAGCGGTCGTAAAATCATCAAGTCTACATGAGTTTTTAAACAATTAAATTTTCACCAAATAGTAAACATGTAAGTTTACGTTAAATAATTGACCAGTAAACCTAAATATTCACACGGTTTTGTATTGAATGATAGATAATATAAATTTATACTCGGTGAAGAGTGCATGCCAGATTCAAAGAAACCAAAGAGGTCAAACGCAGCCACACGATGGGAACCCAATATGGAGAAAAATCTAGTTACTCAAAATTCCTTTCGAAGCCAGAAACATGATCTAGCGAGCAGCAGTAGGTTGCTTAACTACCAAGGATAAGCTGCGTGAAAGAAGAGTAGATGTGGACCCATATTGTCCAATGTGTGGGGTTGAGCTTGAAACAATAACTCACGACTTGATTGACTACCAAGAGACTAGGAACATCTGATTGCAGGCTTGTGTTGGCGTTAATGGAGGCCAGTCTCTTTCTTTTATAAACTGGCTTTCCATGATCTTTGATAGGTGTAGTGCACAACAAAGTAAGCAAGCAGCCATGTTATGTTGGGCAATTTGGAGAAATAGAAATGAGGTGGTCTGGAGGGGAAGAGAAGGCCAACAGAGACTGTAATCCAATTGAGCAAGGAAGCCCTTGAGGATTGGGGCAGTGCTCAAGAAAGGAAGGTGCTACAGAGGAGAAAGTTGGCAGAGCAGACCATGCACAGCTCCAAATGGCAAAAACCAGGGGCTGGTTGGGTCAAGGCAAATACCAACGGTGCTCTGTTTGAAGAAGGAAATACGTTCAGTGTTAGCTATGTGGTCAGGGATGCAGAGGGACGAATAGTGGCAGCTAGCTAGGGTGCGCAAATTTGAGGGCTTGGTGGAGCCAAAAATTGCTAAAGCTTTGGGGGTTAGGAGGCCCTAAGCTAGCTAAAGGATAGGTTGTTTCCAATTGTGATTTTTTAGGCGGATGCACAAGTGGTGATTGAAGCCTTTAATGGACAGGGTGAAGACAGATCAAACTTTGGTTTGTTCATCGATGATTGTGCTCTTTTTAAGGAGTGCTTTCTTAGGGCGATTTTTTTGCTTCGTTAAAAGATCAACGAATCAGGTGGCTTATACGCTAGCAAAGTTATCTTTTTCTTTGTCTGATCTAACAGAATGAGGTTGTATCCCTTCGAAGTTTGATGCATTGTTTCGCTATTGATTCTTCTTAGTAATAAAACTATCCAGTTTCAAAAAAAAAAAAAAAGAGAGAGAGAGAGATAGATAATAGAAATTTATAATTAAACTATGAAGAGTTTGTATCAAGCGAAGCATTTGTAAAAATTTAAATAAATAAATAAATAAAACACTAAATTGTACAGGAAAAAATACCATTGAATAGAATGAAAGCTTGTAAATAAAACACATAAAGAAAGCGATAGATAAATCTATAAAGAAAACAATGCATAAATGTACAAAGAAAGCAAATAAATAATACGATAAAGAAAGCACAACGAGAAGAGAAATTTTATAATACTTCATAAGTAATTATTAATATTTACTTTATAAGAAAGAGATAGATAAAAAAATAGAGAGAAAAAATTAAACTTAGATGAAAATATTTTTATCATTTTGGATGGATTCGAATATAAATTTATTTATTTATTTATTTTGTCTCTTTTTGTTTTTTTTTTTAATGAGTTCATAGAGTAATTATTGTAAGTATTTTAAAAATTTTGAAATTTTAAGCATAAAATTGTAAAAATAAATTTACAAAAAGTAAAAAAAAATTCGAAAGCTCGTATTGACATGTGTATTGAAACTGACAAGATAATTACAATGAGAGTTTTCCTCTATTTACACTATTTTAAGCTAAAAACCTAATTGCAATACAAGTAAGAAAACACACAACCGACTCAAGAGTTAGTCTTTAACTACAAAAAAACACCAGTGAGAGTAAATATTGATGTTTAAATCTGACAAGAAAACAAGTAACGTGAATAGAATAGGATCTTGAGGCATTTACAAATATTAAATACAAAAAATTTTGAGTTGGAGAATTCATAGCATCTTTTAAACACAAGCTTGATCACAAAATTTTAAAGGCCAAAAAATTAAAGTGTAAATGGATCGTGTCCTGCCAAGTAGCTCCTTAATGTATTGGCCGTGCCGGCTATCAAATTCTGTCTATAATTTGAATATTAATTCTAGATGTCAACAATATGAAAAATAGACGTTGAAATAAGTTGTTCATAACTCGATAAAGAACGTATCTCTTACATTCATACACAATAATAATTAAAAAAAAAAATCACATCTTTTCTGTACAAAAATTGCAATTAATGATATTTTTATGGACTAATTAAATGTAGATACGCAAGAGGTTTAATGATATAACTTAATTCTAAAATCGAATCCTTTTTTCTTTACCATCTGAATTAACTTGATAAGCAATAAAGGTGCACGATATAGAAACTCAATACAGCACCCCCATTTTTTCTTGTGCCAATTTTCTACCAGATTCAAGTCCTAGGTGGGATTTATCAGATGCTCAATTCCAATGAGTTTCACGTGTCTAAGTAGAGGTGATTTGTCGAAGTAAAAAAATAACAAAATAAAATTCAGAAGAACGGTAAATGTGGGGGACTCAGAGGCAAAGCCTGGGTCACCGTCAGATGAACCCTACCACGAATAAAGCCTATATTTTTAGGGTTTAGATTCTTCAACAAGTTGACCCAAGCCCACCACGCAAAGGCGGTGGACCAATTGAATGGTGGTGGAACCCACCATTTTCGCTGGTCTAATGTCACCAGGAGGGGACCATCATTATTTCATGGCTTCATATATTTGTGGCGGGGGACCCTACCCCATTGAGTATCGTCACGTGCTCACAAACCCACTTTGCCCTAACTGGTCCCCGTTCAGCGTTCAGTGTTCTTTTTAGGAGACTTCTACAAAACTTTACACCAGACGCAAACTTTTGCCAGTGCCGTACTACTACCAACCAATGCCATTGCAACACGTCATTAGATTGTAGTAAAATATCGTCTGGATCTTTCTTGTGAGGCAGATGGGGTTTGGCCTACTTAAAAATTGACCATCTTTTATGTCTTGGATTCACTATCACAGGTTCAGTAAAAATTAAAAGGCTAATGTATATGTTTCTTATGATATATGTGCCCCAGTAGCTGTGATGTTACGATTTCATGTTCCTTTATCCTGAAAATTCTTTTTTTTTTTTTTATGAGCGTATTTTTTTGTTATGTGTTTAATCAGGAGGAACATCATTTGATTTCATTAGTATTGTTAAAAACAAAACGATATTTATAAAACTAAAATGTTCAAATCAAAATTATATCTTCTAGTTAAATCAAATTGACCGGGTTCAAAATTAGATGCACACATAGAGAGGTTCAGACCGATTTATTTTTAATTTTTTGAAATTTCAGAATGAAACCAAATCAAACTGACATATATTACGAAAACTTTTATGGAAATAATCTGAAATATTCGAGAAAACGAATTATTAGGAACGATTATTCCAGGAATAAGTCCACCTCTCAATCTAACTCAGATCTAAAAATTATCTCATATAGTCAGTCATATATAACTTTTCACATGAGTCGTGGTTATCTACCACGAGACTAACCATTTTTGTCCCCAGCTTTTTCTTCGGTCGAGGACCCATTTTGAAAGTAGTTCGTAACACAATTAAGATGGGTTGGACTCATTTTGAAAGTAGTTCGTAACAGTTCAGTTCGCCTTTTCGGTTTAAACCGAACACTACACATCCCTAGAAATAGGTATTTGCTTGTTTAAAGGGCTTAGAGGATAAAGATTACGGTCAGGGGGTGGAGCTGAAATGAGAACGCTGAAGTGCAGGCCGAAAGGGTCTTATTCAACAAGGTCAGAAGAGAACAAAAGCATTACAGAAGTAGATTAATATTTTTAAGAAATAATCAGCAAGTAGAGAATTGTATGGCACAAATTTATCTTCATAGAATAATTTAGGAAATAAGAGAACTACGAACATGATTTGAATGGCAGAGGGACTAAATAAATAAAATTTCCCCAACAGCACCAACTAGTATTTTAAAATCAGGATGACTAAGTTATAATCTACTCTTAAACATGAAAAAAACTCAACTTTGGGGGGAGTGTTATTCCTTTTAACTTCATATAAATGGCTTTTAACAACATACTAGGAAACTTGAACTTCCATTGCTGGACAGAGCAGATAAAAACATAAATATCTCGATAGGAACCTCACCCAGTTATGGAAAACTATACACCTTAACATGAACAAATAAAAAAATACTTGGAAAAGGGCTCTGTTCAATTTGGTTAAATACATAAGCCAAAGAAAGAATTTTCTCAATTGTTACAAGCATCTGGAGTGGGAGAAACATGAATAATCGAAACCCTACAGTAGTGCATGGCCACGCTAAAGCATCAAATACCTCACAGAATTATAGCTACATTTCTTTCTTCTTTTTTTTCCGAAACAAACGGTGTATTTCAAACTTAATAATATCAGCAAACCATTCACTAAATTCAGAACACAACAAAACACATCTAAAAAAATTCGTGCATGCTTTTTATTGAACAAAATTTTGCTGCATTTCTTATGGTACAGATGAAAGAATGCAAGTTCGAGTTGGTCATCTTGACACTTGTAACTGCATCCAGAGTGAAAACTATTAAGAAAACAAATAGGATAAATTCCTACTAATTGGAAGATTACTTCACCTAAAAATCATAGAAATTTCGGAAATCCAACTTCTTGCACAGTCATTACGATCCAGACATGTATGTGTAACGTGTCTGAGCACCAACAACAAGCTCAACAATTTTCGCTGCATGTTCAAAGGATATTTTATGAAAAATATGAAATTTTCATAAACAAACTCAATCATCAAGGTACAAACATGATGCAATCAGAAAGTAAAACTGAGAAGAAATAAACACCACGCACCTGTTAGAAGCCCAACGATGGGGACAGGTTCCAGTAGTTTTTCAGTGCTATCAAGTCTTTGCCTGTAACGATCGACAAAAATGGAGTTGAATCTTAGATTACTTTATATTGGGAAGATTGCAACTATAAAACAGCAAAGCGTAGCAAGAAACTTAGGAAAGAGGCCTTACCAGGTGTACTTGCTAAAGAATGGATCTCTCATAAGGTAAAGTGCCCATAACAATTTTCTTCTTTTCAACTGATTCAAACATAATACCAATATCCCTTTAGAATCAAATCCATTAATTAATGAGTAGTACATTCAGAAGAGGGGGAAAAAAATTAAGAGCAGATTCCCAGAACCATCCTGAAAGCTGATGAACTGGAAGCAATAAAATATTTTAATGGTAAAATTATATAAAACTCTGACCTCATCCTTTTCAGCAGCAGTAAGATGAAAATGTTGCTCTTTTCCACCATCCCTTGATTGAGTAACGTGTGTTAAAAAGCCTACTCCAATCGTGTCTACAGCAAGAGAAAGAAACCAAGGAATCCATGACCGAATTCCATACTTTCTGATGAACAACACATAAATAAGGGGTCTTGTAATAAACAGGACCTCTCCCATGAGAAATAATGCCCCCGAACACCTTTCTCTGATAAAATCGCAGAAAGTGTTGGCCTTTCAATCACTGGAGCTGTCAAGTTATAATTGCAAATATTAGTTGCGTTGACTTATAAATTGTATATTACTCATCTAGCCCCAAAACGAAATTATTAAGAGTAATTATACGTGGAGGCTCCATGATAGCCTGCTGATGTTGAACCCTGCGCAACCATACTGGGTCAGAACCCATCCTGGCATTTTCTCCAAACCTGCTCAGGGCAGACAATGCCCTTCCTTCCAGATTCCATGGGCTCTGTCCATTAGAGCCATTGTGGGGTCCACGCTTTGGGAAAACCCTGTCATTATGCTGCAAGCTTGAGAAATCTGAATGCTTTTCAATATTTGATGTCTCTCCTCCATGCAGAAGCATCTTATATCCACTATTCCGGAACAAAGCCAGCCTAACAAGCACCCTGAGTTACAAAAATACAGAGTTATAAGGCAAATATCAACATGCCGGTACAATTCTAACAGCCAAACTGAATAAAATAGAGTCAAACAAGACAACTGCCGCTTACTTGGTAGCTTCTGTAACAGCAATGAAATTCCATTTCTTATCATTACCATAATAATGTTGAGCTGCAACTTCGACCAATGTTTCCAAATCTTTTATAGCAGATATGCATAACGAATATGGGAAAGAATTACGCTCCACAGGACCAGCATGCATCTGGGCTTGAGTTGTATCTATGACATGCTCGTTGATAGCAGTGATAATGCCCAAGATTGCAGTTACTGCAGATAATTACTAGCTTTCTCAATATAGCAGCATTTTTAGCTTCATGTACAGCTAAATAAAACTTCATGTCGTCAATTAGTTCATAAGATAAAAAACAAGGCTAAAAGGAACTCAAATTTGGACACTTTAACTAATTACTTATGTGCCTGAGAAAATAATAGAACTCCAAACTGAACCTAATGACACCGTGTGAGTGTGACCTACTAGTTCTCATTGGTTCAGGATGGAAGCAAAATAAACATAAAATTTGATGTATAAAATTCGTTAGTTCTCATCCCCACCATTTTCCATGATCACTTAATAAGGAAAAGAAACCCCAAGCTAACAAGAAGTAGACAAAAGTTACCAAAGTTTCACAAAACCTGCTTCTGGTCCTATCTCTGAATCGGAAAACCGTTCGGGAAGAAGCCATGTCAATCCCTGTGCAAAGATTTTGAACGTGCTTATCAGAAAACAATGTTCAAACATGCAAAAACATCCACACCGGATTCATCAGAAATCCCCACATTCGTATGCCACTGACAAGTACCAACATAACAAAATATCGAAACTATTAAAACAATCAATGAGGCTAAACATATTTGTTTATCAGGGACAGACTCTTAACTACAACAGCTAAGACAAAAGCAGCCGTTGATATCTTAACACACTTCCTGTCCCTGATCAAAATTGCTCAAATTTTCATCTATTCACATCCACAATGGATAATATAAACAATCTAAACAACAAAATATGCAATAATTTTCATAAAGCACAGTCCTTTAATCAATTTTCTAAAGACAATAATGATAACACTAATCAACAGTCAGAACAAAATGCAATAACCTCAAATTCATATTCAAACACAGCTCAAGGTCAGTTTATTTCCAAGATTTCTCCATTTGAAAGCTACAGTGTGTAATACAAAGAACCAAAAAGAAAACCCACATGCCAAAAAAACCAAATTAGGTAAGTAAATAAAGAGATCAGGCTTACATTGGCAAGAGAATCCAATGAGTGCACATAATCTTTATTCCTTCTAACCCATTTCTTATAAGCTTCCATGGCTTCGAAATCTCTAAGATAAAGAAAGCAACACACTGAGAGACTCGGCTCTCCAAATAATTAAATCAAAACGTTGACTCTGACTCACTTGAATCTAACTCTCCCTCTTTCTCTAGTGTTTTTGGACCAGACCCAGATGAGAAAATAAGAGAGAAGGAAAACTTTTTAAATAATTTCGTCTCAAGAGATGTGGATGCTACCAAGAATGCTTAGAAGAGTGAGAGAGAGAGAGAGAGAGAGAGAGAGTCACATGCTGGCTGTTGTGGAAGAAGAGGCAAAAACCAGAGGAATTGAGGGTCCTGTGAAACTGATGTGTTTGACCGTCGGATGAAAGATACAGATTAACAAATGGATAGGTTGACCGGTGGATATTAAAATTAGCAAACCATTTATGTGGTTGAGATCTTGTATTAAAGGTGACAAGTTTGTATCCTGTAGCGGATGATCATAAGATAGAAAATGGGAAATGGATATTGGGTGTGGTTGGGCTGCTATAATACGCCACTGCCTACATAGCACAAACTTCAAAGCCAATGGATGAGTTTAACAGTGAAATATTTAGTCCTGATAGGACCGATCAAGCGATCGAAGCACTAGATTTTTTAGTAGTACGCTAACTTAAGTTTGTCTCATTTTAAAACCCTTTTCTTTAATGTAGATAAAATAACCACAAAAAGAAAAAAAAACTCCGTACTGTGAATTATGGAAATTACTAAAATGAAAGGATATGTAGGATATCTAGAAGTTAATTTAGTACTTACTTTAACAGTAACTTGAAACAAACAGGTTTTAGCCAGTGCAGGTGTGGCAATACATAGCTCTTTCCACCGTCTCCAATACAAGCTGCTGGACCCTTTTGATTCTTCTGTCTCTTCTTGCTTCTCCTCCATCTGGAATTCTAGTTTGCTTACTCCATCATCTTCATGAGACTGAAACATTCCCATTTCTTCTTTGTCGATCCCATTCTCTCCCTTGATTTCTTGCAGTAGCAGCTGGTCATTTTCATCTTCTTGTTCAGTACATAACCAGCTTGTTGCTGCCATGATCTTCAAAACCAGTAGTTCTACCATATCTGCCGCAATTATTACCTTTAAATACCAGGTTGTCTCTAGTCATTCATTGAGGTAGCTGGCTGTTCATTAATTTACATTCAAAGTTAAACAACCACATTGTTACATGTCTCTTCAGATTTGCTATGCGTTCTTTATATTTATGTATGACATTTATGATTAGGGAAAATATTGGCTGAGAATATATTGGACATAACGTGGCAGAGGCTTATCAAATTGAGAAGACTTCCATTTGAGGAGATTTGCATTCATAAGTTGCCATTCCAGTTAAACAAGGTGAGTGGGACTCTTTTAAAGGATCGTTTGGTTGCATCCGATTTATGCTAGTCGGAAGAACATTGAATTTTGTATTTGTACAGTTACGCCCTTGTTTTTCTAAGCATATTTGTCAAACCCGGATCTGACATGCTGACTTAGAAATCCGTCTCTTCGAGACCTAATGTAGGTTGAATTTAATGTTGGACATGATTAAGAAGTTAATTCAGTTATGCTCGACGATTCGATCAAAATCCAATCAATCAATTATGATTTGGTCAAATTCAATTCAGATCTGACCTGATAAACGGTTAAAAAAAAGGCCACAATTTTCCAAAAAAAAAAAAAAATTGCTTAAATGCATATTACAAAAACTTTTAAAGTGTAGGGGTTTTCCTCTTCCTTTTCCACTAGTACAGAACTACGATGTCTTGTGCCTTTAATTGTTCTTCCAAGTTCCAACGATAAATTTTTTTTTAGCCCTCCTTTACTTTTCTAATAACACTTCTGTGAGTGTTTTTTTTTTTTTTTATCCTTTTCACACCTCTGCATTTACCGCTCTTTTTTTCTCCTCTTCTTTCTTTCTTAACCCCTCTTATCTTTTTATCTTTTTTTTTTATGCTTTTTTTCCTATTTCTTGGTTATGCTTTATCCATGCTTATGCCCCATGTCTAGAGGTGTGCAAACGGTTCTGTTAATCAAAAATCGAATCAAACCGAATCATATTAAGGTATTTGGTTCGGTTTTGAATTTAAAATTTACTATTTATAACCGAACCGAAAAACTAAAATTTATTTCGGTTCGGTTTTTTTAAAAAAATTTCGGTTCAACTCGAAAACCAAAATTTATTCCTTATTTGAGTTATTTCTATTTCGAATTCGATTTCAGTCATTCAAGTGTTTTACCATTTCTCTTCTCATTTCCAATTCCAAATAACCAAAATCGACAAATCCCTAACCCTAACTCCCTATACCCTAAGTCCCTCGTTGCCTCGCTACCATTGGCCCATTACCTTGTTGTCGCCCGTCGTTGCCTCGATGTTGCCGCATAGGCCTTAGCCCTTAAGTCCCTCGTCGTCGTCCGGGCGTTCTCTCTCGGTCTCTCTCACTCTCAAATTTGATAGGTACTAATGTACTATTATACTCGATTGTTTGGAGTTAGAAAGACTAAAAAGTTCTCTATTGTAATGTTGTATTGTTGTGGGCATATTCCGATTATTCTCTATAATGTCTCCGGCTCTCTGCTGTAAACTTGTAATGTTGTAATGTTTGAGAGTTGGAAGAACTTCTTCCGTTACCTTCCATGTGGCTTACTCGATTAGTGAATTGAGTAATTCAAGGACTTATGTAAAGTTGTATAACTTGTGTTTGCTAAAATATATACCACTAATACAACTATACAAGTGACTGAAGTGAGTAGTGGCAGTAGGCCTATTGCCTACTTTAGGAGTTCTTTGACTCCTAGCTTAGTGGAATCTCTTATATGTGCTCAAGATTGGATTAAAAATTCATCGACACCAATTATTATTGAAGAAAATTTGCAAGATATTGAGAAAATACAAGATGGTAATTTCTATAACTCTTACCTTTTCATTTGTTATTTCTTTCCTTTATATTAATATTAAAAGTTTAATTTTTTTATCTTATATTTTCGAGTTACCACTTGCCAATACCTTTATTACAAATGGTTGAATCTTGATGGGTTGATGACTTGATGGTGTTTTGGTGTGATGAATGGTATGTGTAAGTTAATAAGTTTCTACTTTCTAAGTTTGATTTTTTATTTTTGTTGTTTATGCAAGTTTAGTTAGTGAGTGGGAATTACAAATTTTCATTTTCATTGAACTAGAGAAGAGAACCATAGTAGGTAGTAGCTTATCGCCTCGGTGCCTCGTGTCCACCGGCGGTGGCCGCACCCTATCGCCCACCGCCGTAGGCCTACCGCCCACCCGAGTAGGCCTATAGCAGTGGGCGCAGGCTTACCGCCTTGGTGTCTCCCCGCCTACGGTAGTGGGCGGTAGGCCTACCGCCTTTGATTTTCGTAGCATGTTAATATCCTCTTTTAGGAGCATTGAGTGTTTGTTGGGATTTCATTTTATTGCGGATCCCGAAAGAGTGAAGGTATTGCAATTCGTAAATGCACGTAAATCATTTGTTTTAGGACGAGAAGAGAGCTCGTGTCTCGTCTTCTTTGTTGAGAAATGAGAACATACATTCTACCATGCTTTTGTTGTTTAACGTCGATTGTATTGTATATAGATCTTTGTTTCATCAACAATTATTTTGCATGACTTATTTTCTTTTTCGATATATGAATGTTAAACATGTTGGAATGTTAGGTGTTTAAATTTGACTTTAATTATGATTTTTTTTTTGGTGTTGAATTCTTTTTAGAAAAGAAAGTGGTTACTTGTTAGCTCGGCATTGTTAATTACTCGGCTTAGGCAAAGAAAAAATAAATAGAAGTTTTGGGAGAACTGTCTAAAGTCCGAAATGGAGAAGTAATGAAAAAGGTCGGTTAAACCGAATTATTTCAAAACCAAACTGAAAAAATTTGATTACAAATCGAATTAATTTTGGTTCGGTTTCGGTTTTTATTTTTCCTACTTTGGTTAACCAAAAATCGAACCGAATTATGCTTAACCGAACCGTTTAACCGAATGCTCACCCTTACCCATGTCCCTGCAGCCTCCTCTACTCTACTCGTGTTTGCTTTTTCTCACTATGAATTTCCCGGGGTGGAATTTAATGCTCTTCTCCATTGTTGCTCGAAGCTTGTGTGTTTGTTTTTTTCTTACCACGATTTTTCTTCGGTAGAATTTTAATACTCCTTTCTACCGTTCCCGGAACTTATTCATTGGATGGATTTTAAATGATGGTGTCTTATCTTTAATAGGGGCTTGATGTTGGTAAACTTTTGAGATTTCTTAGCTTCCTATGGCTTCTTTATTATTATTTGCTTCTATTCCTTCTATTCATCTTCGAGGTCGGCTTAGTGTCATTGGTTTTTTGCTATTGTAGTTGCGTTGCGACTATAGTGGTGAATTCCTTTGCTCCGTTTGTGAGCAAATGGTGGTTGGTCGTTTTTTCTCTCGTCTTCGATTCTATATTCGTTAATTTTTTTTCTCTGCCTCCAAGGTCCTTGCGTAATCATTAGTTTCTTTAGTTGCTTGGATTGGCTACCGACATTGTTTGTCGATTTGTTTATTCAATGATGTTCAAGTTTTGGGCTTGGTTGGTTTATCTCGCTATTTCGTTCTATTATAATTAGATGAGTTTTCTCGATTAGTTTTTCTCTTTTATTATTTGGCCATGGTTAGTTTCGGTTGCCTCTCGTCCATTTATTTTTGTTTGTTCCCGACTTGCCCTTTTTCTCCTTATTTATCCTTTTCTCTTGCTTATAAATTCTTCTCGTTTCTCTATGCTTTCTCTTCTTCTCTTCTTCTTTTTAATCGTTGCTCCGTGTCTTTCCTCCTTCTGCTTCTTCTTTAATAAGCTTTGTCGATGTTGTTGTTTGTATTGTTGTCATGTCAATCAGATTATATTAATAAAATTACTTTAAGCATGTGATTTTTGGTTCCCTCGAGGATGTTTCTTCTATTGTCTCGTTTCCCCCTCTTTCATTGGTTTATCTTTTTTCATCTTTCTTTCATCTTGCCTTTCCGCATAGGTTTTCCCTTGTTCTATGATGCTTGATGTGTTTCTTTTGGTTTTTTATTTTTTTAATTACTTCCTGTATTGTTGTGCGAGTCATAAATTGTGATGCTTTTCTTTTGTTATGCTTATTTGTGTGCTTTTTTGTTTTTTTCTTTTCCCATTTGCCTATTGTTATTATTTTTTATACAACTCGATGGTTGCCGATTCAAGTATGTTTTGAGATGATGTAATAAGATCAATTGTTGATATATTCCTTGCTTGTTGGTTCCTCTTTTCTATCCTTATTATTGATATATTATTTATGTGATTTTTTCTCCCTTTCTCCCACTCATAGTTTTGATTGTTATTGTTTTTCAAACAACTCAATATTTTTGAATTGTTTTCCTACTCGTGATGTATTTACGAATCATTGTTCCATCTAAAATTAAGGATGCCCTATTGTTGTTGTAGTTGGAATGAATTTTTTTTCTTTGCCTTCATCTTTTTAATTATTTCTTGTCTTCCTTTGTTTAGGTTTTTCTCGAGTTCTTGGAGCTAACTGTGGATGTTGTTTTTGTCTCCATAGGTATTGCCTTTTTTCGACGCTTTTGAGGTCTTCATTTTTGTCATTTTTGTATTTTTTTGCGAGTCTATTTTGTTGTGCTTGTTGTTGGTCGATGTCGGATGATTGTTTGATTTTCTTCATTGTTGTTAAGCAATGAATTAATCGTTATTAGCAAAATGTTGTCGGGTTTTTTAGTGTTTTATTGTGCAAATCCATATGCGTATTTTTGTATTTTCCTCTTTTATGATCTATTATAGCGTTGAAGCAACAGATTTCCTTCTCTTAATTTTTAAAACATCATGCTTTGAACAGACATGTTGCATTGATCAACAAATCATGTATTTCGTCATTACATGCTTTGTTTTTACCTTTTGATATGTTTTGCTTTTCCTTTTTCTTTTGGCTATATCATCAATGATGCAACCTCATTGTTTTTTAAGACTTGTGTGTTTTTGAATTAAGTTTTATTGTTTCTTTCATGCTTTGTTTTGTTATACGCATGTCTTTGAGATGCTGATTCGATACCATCGACTGCTTCTTTCGTT